AAGAGGCGAGAAAAAGCAAAACTCATATATATAGTTCTGCGTGTTTTCTTTTCAAAGCAAAGGGTGAACAATGAATGCTCTCGCGCGACTGCTGTCAATTCGACGGCGAGCGGAAAAAGCGCGCCAACTTTGGCGAAATCATCAGCAACTTTATCAACGACCAAATTTCACCAACAAAGCGCGAGCAGAAAGACCCGTAAATCTATTTTTCGCCCCCCGTTCTTAAGCAGGGGCGAAAGAGCTCCGTCGTAAAAGGCAGATGATTTTACGAGGCGATGCACCTCGTTTCCATCCCCACACGCGGTGAGTGCAAATCGATCGTATTTTCGGGTCTACTCGAGAGACTGTGATTTCACCGGCAGGTTAAACTCCACATCAGTTGGTATAACACATCAAGAGCTTCGCAAACACGCTGTATTTACAGTTAATTGGTTTCTAATTTCACCGTGAATTTCCAGCAAATTGCCTCTGGTGAAATTAATATTTATGGGAAACGTCATATTAATCGATTCGCCTACACATCCCTTTGACTTAACATATTATCTAGGATATGTCATGAAAATTAAACAGTATTCCTCAAAATGTCAAGGAATCCAGGCTATCAGCTTGATCTATTAATGAACATTTAGTTTCCTATAAATAAAAGGTCAAAAGTTTAAGTATAACGCTCTTTAGGAATGAATGCGTTGACTTTTAATTTTAATAATTTATTTTTAATTTGTAGTAATATTCAATCTACACGCTTCAAATTAACAAGTGCAAAAGTAAGTCGGTAAATAATTTAAATTGAAATAAATTATCACAAATATTTTAAAAATAGAAGATTTTTATGAATTTAACAAACTTTTTAGTTGGCAATTTAACTATTTTTTGTTTCGTCAAACTGACATTTTATTGCCTTTTGCGGCTTCTTGTAAAACTTGTCTCATGTATTTCCTGTAAGTATTGAGGAATTAATAATAAAGTTTAGTAATGTTTTATGTAATAATTTAATGTATTTAATTTCAATTTATTAAATAAATAGCGAACACAGTATGATGTGTAATAGCAAAGTCAGTGCGTTCTTTATGTTTCTTTGGCACTGATTCCGTCGCAGTCTGCGGACGACGAGTAATTGGATTTTGCGTATGCACCGGCGCGTGAAATGAAAAACAAATCTCAACGCGCGTAGTCGTCTCACGACATTCCTTGCTGGGCGAGCAAAGCACCAATAATAACTCCAACTTTTTGCACCAAAATTTTGCTTTCCTGATCGAAAATCTTGTCGATATGAAGACGCGTTGGCGCCTAATGGGCAAAGAAGTCGGCGCAACATCTCATATATTTCGCAAAACTTTTTCCAGTGCCGAAAGAAAGTAAGGGTCTTATCTAAGTTACCAATTTATATAAAAAACTTTCCCCCTGCCTTGCAAAAAAAGTAGCAAGGTCGTTTTTAACATATTCCAGGTGTGATTTATGCTATCAGAGTTGATTTAATTGATTCAGATTACAATTTAATATTTTTCTGCAACAACGAAAATTTAAATTAATTATTTACTGATTGAAATTTAATTTATATGGTAATAAAAAATTTACACATTAAAATAAATTTTTTTTAAATTATTTTATTAATAACTATATTTTATTAATTATTTTTTTTAATTTATTATTTTATTTTTATTTAATACAATTAATTTATTTAACTTAAAAAAATTTAATTGTTTTCCAAGTACATGATGAATTAAAGTTTAATTTAAACAGGAAGAAAAATGATGTGTTTAAGCTTAAAATCTTATCACTTGAAAAATTACTTCTACAATTGGAGAAATTCGCTAACTGATAAATGGTCACGGAACGCCAATCAAAAAGCAATTTCTTCCGCCGTCTGCGACTAATGTGGCACATTAAGCGTTCGCACGGCGCATTTTAATTAATTTCGTCCGCCCACGCGAGCCTCTCTGCGTACAACGAAAACAAACAAATGGGTCGCACTGCGCGAATGCAAATGGGCGCAGAACAGGTGAAGGTAATCGCTTCTTCATCGACATATCATACAATCACGCCGGCCCCGAAGGCGATTATTTCATAATATCCGGCGCGAATTAAGCGATTGAATGCACCGCATGTTGTTAATGGCACTTATACGCCACAATTTTGGGTACGGCTTCCGCAATTTAGATATCTGAATGATAAATGATAAATTAAATCATTTGAAGGAGACTGATAGCATTATTGAACCACAGTACAATAAATTATATTTAAAAAAAAATTAAGCAAAAATATTTATTTAATTTTATAAAATATTTTTTAAAACTCTTTAAGGAAAGATAAATTAATTTTGGAAATTTGTTACTTGTAAAATAATTTTTTTAAAGGATTTTGTACCCTGACCTTCCAAGATCTTGCTTTTTTTCTGAACGAAAATCTGTACTAGTGTTTTACAATAATTAGTAAAATTATTCATGAAATGTAAATTTCCGCGCATCATAAAACTCTCGATTGCTTGTTTAACGTAATTAATCACAAAAACCTCACCCCTGAACCAGCTCTCATGTTGATATTATTAAAAATTCAAGACTCCCTCTAACTTTCCAATAACTCAAATAATGTTCCGATCGCACACACTTTTTGAGAATGAGAACTCCAATCCCATACCCTTTTAATTGTAATTAAAACTCAAGCGCCCAAAGACTGATGCCGTTTTACAACAAATTTCTTGTGAAATGTTTTAAATTTTTTAAAGTTAAAATTGTGGAGGAGATAAATCGTCAATACAAGAAGTTTTAAGCAGCTTTTTCTAATTAAAATTAATTGTAAAAAGAAAAAGGAGATAATGCAAAAAAAATTATTATATATTTTTACTTGACAATGCCTACGCTTACGACCCATGTTGCTTTGTATGAATTATATAGAAGCTTTTAAAGGTACCTAAATGGAGGAAGCCGGCAAAGCCGACTAAACGTCAAGGTAAAAATCTGAAAAATATGCCCGGATGCCTCGAATGCGTAGCTGAAAAAAAATCACATTGCCTAAACCGGTATAGCAGGGCATGATTCACAGACTAGACGGAGGTAATTAAAAGTTTATAATTCAATAAACTATAATAATATTGCTTATTAAATTGTATATAAATATAAACCTAATTTGCAACTAAATATAAAAAAATATGCAAATTTTGTAGCATTTATGGTTTAATTAAATTGACAATTTGTACATAATTTTCTCAGCTGCAGCTGCAATATAAAATGAAATTTTGTGAATTACTAATTTATTTCTTCACCCTACACTTTTTTTCTTTTTTTTTTTTTGTAAAACCATAAAGGATTTTTTCAAGGGAGCTGATTTATGTCGATCTTTTAGTATTTTCTTTTTATTACCAATTTGAAATAGCCAATGACAAATAAAAAATCCCCTGAAAGTTACTTCACCATTATTTGTGTTTAACCGAAACTGAGTCGTGCGCGCATTTTACGTTTCATTCGGCCCCGAATGCGCTCTGCTATTTTTATGGCGACAATAATTTAACGCCAATAAAACATAACCGGCCGTAAAACGCGTGTAAAGCACATCACATTTTTTTGTCCAACACCCACAACAAACCGGACGAATTTAGAGCCTCTGGTGGGACAAAAACAAAAATGCACATAAATCCAGTTACGTCAGATGGAGTGTGACATTTATATGCAACTTTTCGGTCTTCTCGCGCGGCCAGTCGCAAAGAATCGAAATCGCGACTCGACGGCCCAATTGCACAAGACGCGCGCGTGCAGTTAGCGGTGCTCATTTTGCGAAACGCGAGCCGCATTTGAAATGAATCGCTCGGGACTTAATTGCTCCAGCACATTCCGCTCCATAGCAATAAATTATTTATTGCCCATTCATATCTGCGTATGAAAGCTTCAAATCGATTTGGAATTCAAATTACTTTTTGACTGTGCGATTAGTTTATGTTGAAACTGGATAATTATAACTCATTTTTCAAAGTTGGGTTTAGAGTTTCATATTTTTGCTTGAAATTTTTTGTAATCATAAACCAATTAAGGAAAGTTCTGGAAAGTTCTAATTTAATGAAAATATCAACGTTCAGTTTTTCCAGAGTACAAAATCCTCGTTAATGATAATGCCTCTTTTTTTCCATGATTAATTAATTCGGTTGAAACAGTGAATTGCAAAATGAAAAACAATGGTTATTATCTGCTCATTGTTCACAAAGATTTCAAAAATGTATATTAAGTTCCGTCCATTTGATGTAATTTTTATATTTAATGGAAAACCGTTTCAAGCGATTATTTTCTAAAAATGTACCATCAATTCTGTTTTTCTTTTGCACAAAAATGAAAATTGTTTCCAGGCACCGATTGTGAAAATGAATATTAAATTCTAATTCTTATTCTAAATTTTGCTGTTAATTTTTAATGAAAGTTATGAATGGAAAAGCAAAGTTTATTTAAATTCAAATTAGTCATGAAAAGGTTTGTTGGACACGATTCTCCAATTAAAAAATTGCTAGAGAATTAATTCTTTTTCATTAAGTTCAGTTATTTTGCTGGATAATTTTGGTCTCGCAATTAAACTTATTTGCAATTACAATAAAATTCTGATGCACGATTCTGCCTTTTTGTCCAACAATTCCTTTCTTTTCACAAATAAATGTTTTCAACAATTGTTAAATATGAAAACAATGTGATGTAACAATGTGGACAAATAAACAACAATAATAATTCACATATTTTTAATTATTTTTTTTACTTTAGCTCTCATAAAATGATGTTGGAATTGAAACTCCAAATTTATGCAAAGACGATTGAAAAAAAATCAAATTTATAATTCATTAAACTTGGAGAAATTGAATTGCTCTCATCAACGTTATTTTTATTAAATTTTGTATTCAAGAAAATGATTTAAATAAATATTATTTTCTTATAGTAATCCTTCAATATGAACTAATTCTAAAAAAAGGACTGAACTTTTTCTCCCGCCAAGATTCCATTCACTCCACTTTGACAGAGGACGAAACTCACGTTCAGCTGCGAATTGCGTTGCACCAGGGCGGCAGGTCACATGGTGCGGGTGCAGTTTGGCCATTCACTCGACCTCCGACATGGAAAAGCAGAGCCTCATTGCTCGAACACACTCACTCGCAGGCAGCAGCCGAGAGACGTTCGGCGGTGATTCGCACACGTGAGATGCGCTTCGTGTTCGCACTAACGACCCCGCCGAGCGCGAGCGACCGTCGAGGGCCGCCCGAGCACCGGCGGCACCCGCGGGGGCGCATGCGTTTCCTCCTCATCCGTCGGCGCGTCCGAACTCGGAACCAGCCACAGCCAGCCTGCTGTGCAGATTTCGGGACGAATCGTAAATAATGCACAGACTGAAATAGGACCACAATAGCTGCCACTTTTTATTGCACTTGGCCATATTTATCATCGGTCACGAGCTCAAATCTCTTTCTTTTATTTTACCACAGAGGCTGTTTTAAAAATGTAGTTTCAAAATTTTCCAGTTTTTTTTATAAGAATAACTTATTCTGTGATACCCCCCCCCCCCCTCCGCAAATTTCAAGAAAAATTATTGTCCTCTCATTTTACATGAGTCAATTATTCCCCATCCAATTAATCTTTTTGGCAAATTCATTTTCAACTATAATAAATTTCCAATTTAACTTACAATTAGGTTGTATTTAAAAAATTTATTGTAGTTCCTCAATTGCCTTTTTAAGATTCTATAAATGAAATGATGTTTGATTTCAATAAAGATAAACCCAAAATAAAAAAGAAGACAAAATCGAGTGGCGCCTTCTGCGCCACTAAAAAGGGCACAGGCCGACAAGACCTTGTCTTGGCCTGACCCTAAAAAAAAAGAATATCAAATCATCGTCATCGTAATGATTATCATAATTAAATTCAATGATTTTTTCTTTTCAATACACAGAGGCTTAAACTGCTGTTTGATTAATTTTTTAAATTTAAAAAAAAGGAATGCAAAAACGCTTGGAAATGGAAATGAATTTATTTAAACGTTTTTTAGCCTAGAAAGCTTCACTCGCAGCAATTTCCTAAGTTGAATTATTAAATTCTTTGTCTAACAATAAGTGCAACGGCTATTTAAAACAACTGTCTTTGTTTTAAATTTTAATTTAGTTATATCATATTGTTTTTTTTTATACGAAAAAACTGCAATGATTCAAATTCTAGAGCACTATTAGAGCAATTAATAGTAAAAGAGAATATTTGAAGCATGCATTTTGTCACATTATACTCTCATTTATCTCTCATTTGACGACTTCTCACCATTTGAACATTTGACATTTCCACATCCCTTAAAATAATTTCACGTTTGTATTCTTTCAAAAATTAAAAAAATATGACATTTACTGAATTTTTAATAATTCACTTACAACATCTTACAACTATTACAAAAGTTTTAAGTACATTCAAAGATTGCAATTTTTCTATTTTCTATAATCTCGTATGTATAATTCTACGGCCATGGCTTCTTGCCCGTTAACATAAAATGTAGGAATCATAATTAAACAAAAGTTATTTAAATTTTATAATAATTATCTGCAAACTTTTATTTGATATGGAAATTCGCTTTTCGTACAAAATAGGACAATAATCGTAATCCAGACTGCAGCAATTGTGATAAAATTGACACAAGTACATACACCAATGCAACCACGTCACGCCAGTGATTTCAACGCAAACTCTGTTGAGCTCTCATTCGCGCACTTCTCCTTTAAGTCCAATAAACGCGGCGCTTTTCTCGTGAAGCAAGCCGCCGCTTATCCACAGCAGCAGAGCGAGTCCCACTGCCCTGGGATCAATTTATTCGTCTTCTCTCTCCACTCGGAATTGCATCACGCGTCTCTTTTTCATTACGGAGAAAATATATATATTTGTTTGGTTGCTTTGGTCGCACGCATGCAGTCTCAACGTAGAGAGAAAAACGCGCACTCATATATACGAAACACACACGCACTCGGCTAAAGTTCATCCGCGGGCCTAATCAATGGCCAACTTCCGAAACGAGCCTTCCCAGCCGTAGATTTCGTTCTGCAGGAGGTGCTTCGGCTTGCCGGGTCGCTTCGCCTCGACCGCTTTCACGTTCTCCTGTTCCAGGAACCAGGAGCGGTAGCTCTCAATCTTCGTCTTCCACGCGTCTGAAATTGAAAATTTTCCATTAGATTCGCAATCGCGGTTCATAATGAATATAATATCACGAGGATGGATGAGAGAAGAGATTGAGCGGGGGAGGAAAAGGCAGAGAGAGGAGCTTTATTTCGATTGTAAAAAAGAGACTAACAGGAACTGCTGGGCGGGAGAAAGAAAGCTTTCAAACGTCGCTGGGTCTTAATGCAAATTAGCCTGATGCTTCAAAAGGGGGAGAAAAGTTCAGTTCGGGACTGTTTTTACCAGGAACTTTATTTCCATAATATCTTAGATAAAAATTTATTTATAACATTAAATTGCAAGTAAAATAAAAATCTGGAGCAAATCTGGTTTTAAATTTTAAGCTTTCAAAATAATTGATGATAAAATGAAATAATGTTTTACATTTATAAAGTCTGAGGTCACATTTATCTTACTTGCCATTTGTTACAATAAACAAAATTGGGTATTCAACGTTTAATGATTTCCTTGTTTGAATTTCCTCGTTATCCGTTGACTCGGAAAACGAGGAAAACATATCTAACTTGTTTGTGCTCAACAATTTTTTTCCCTCTTTGGCTAATAGCGAGACAGCAAAAATTCACAATGATGGGGAAAAATTATACAAAATAAGCTCTCCCGTTTGTTTGAAGAAGTTGACACTCGAGGAGATGATCATAGAAATGAAGCGATCGGGCTTTTCCTCGTTGCAGAAAATTGTTTTTATTCAAATTGAATAAAAACAATTCATTTCTTCATTTCTAAGCTCTCCCGTATTTTAATTTGCCCTTCTGACCTTCTCTACATAAAAAAATTAAACGTTATAACCACATTTAATTATTTTGATCTCCAAATCATTTTCTCGATTTAAATTAAGCGAGTTGCAATCATAGGCGCTGTATTTATTTACTAAATACTTGTCTAATCAGTCTTGCTTATTGTTAGTTACAAGAAAAATTTGATAAGTTAACAACTTAGCAAGTCTGTTTGTAGCTCTTATTAAATTTTATTATTAGACTTTTTAGTGAAAATAATAACATTTTTAGGTCTAAGGTTCTTTCAATACAATGCGCAGACATTTCATTAAAAAAATGCAAATGTTTTTTTTTTTAAATTTCATTGTTGTTATTTCATGCTGATATTAATGTGATCAAGCGATGTTTACTTTCAATAGGGATTAAAAGGGATTTTGGTTGCAGATTTAGGTCGAATTGCTGCGGTGCATTGATTTTTCCACCCATTAAACTTCTTTATCTCTAAATACTACACAATATTCTGTATATTATGTACTTCCCGTTGAAAGCATTTGACGTTTGCATATATTTTATAGGCTATGCAACAACACCTATCTCGGTGCGGTATAAAGTCATGCATAATATTCGTCCTTGCGCCTGCATAGCTCTCGCGAGCTATTTCCATTTAACGCACATGCACATCCCCCGCCAGCTGACGTGCCTTTGCTCTTATATATTCCTTCGCCGGCTCCTGTGTTAACCCTGATAAACCGCCCCAGTAAGTGCGCGCCCATATCTCATGCATGCACGCGGCCGTCTCGGCGCGCAACCAGCATTTTAATATTTCTCGTTCATACCGAATTCCACGCCCGCCCGTCAACTGCCACGAGTGTAGAGAGTAATTAATCACACTACTACTTTTCGCCGAGCCCAAAGACAAAAAAAAGTTAATAATGACAACGACACACATTCGAGCCGCTGCGCCGCCGGCAGTGCTAATTGATTGGGTGCGGATTGTCGGCCAACGATTGAATCGAGTCGCCGTTAATTATCAGAAATTTATTTGTTGGAAAATTTTTAACAGAAATTCATTGCTCAGAAGCCGTGTTTTTCATTTGTCAGAAATTAAAATATAAGAAAATCAAAGGTCGGAAATTTAAAATTAATTTTTTCATTCATATTATTGTAAAAGTGGAGGACACGTACGTAAAATTTGAAATTTTATTGAAGCAAATTTTGATAATTTGATCTTTTGTGGCAAAAATCACAAACAATTTGGTCAATTTTTGCTTCAGGTACATAGATGAAACTAGGCAGTGTTTCATATGTGGAGCTTATGATTTTTATAGCCGCCCTTTAAATTTCCCTTCCTTGCCGTTTACAGTATGGAATGTTTTCTCCTTTCAGTAATTAATAATATTGATTAATTTCATCGATATTTAACTATAAATTTTTAAGTACAAATTAAAGGTTTTTTTTTGCAAATTGTTTCACTTAATCCTTCACATTTTTAAAATTCACTTGCTGTGTTTTCTGATAATATATATAATTTCTGATGAATATTTTTGGGAAAAATAAAAACAATGTTTTTTTCTGATAAATAAGGGGATCCCCTTGTAACCACGTGTCACATAAAAAAGCGTACGGCTTTTCGCACGAACTGTGCCACGGGCGTTTGCAAACAAGGTTTGCGGCAAAATAATTAATGATAGATAATTAAGTGTAACTTATTAAGTGACTTCTCCATGATAAAAATATAAAAATAAGACCGTCTTGATTTTGTTAATTATGGAAGTATTGGATATTCTCATTTAAAACAGTTACGATTCCCAAGATAAAGATTTATTATTAAAGTAATTGTATATTGAACTGACAAATAGAACCAGATTTTCTTATTAATTTAATTTTTAAATTTGAAACATAAATATTTGTTAATCAACTATGATATTTCATTAAAAATATACAAAATCAAATTGAAATATATTCAAAAATATGAAATAAAATAAATAATAATAAATATACTGAATTATTAAATTAAAAAAATATTTATTTAAAATTTTTTATATTGTTGTTATTATAAAAGTAAAAAACAGACTAATGTTTTAACCAAATATAAAAAGGAACTAGGTTGCTAATTTTGGCCAGTAAAATGGCTAACCGCTGATCCAATTTGTACATTAACATTAGAAATTCAATTCAAGCATCCAACATCGAAACTTAACGCGAATAATTGAATGAGTCTGCCTAAAACTTGTACCAATTTCATGTAAATCGCTTTTTCTCTTATAATCGATCCTTTTTTCGTGCTTTGGTTTGCTACATAACAATACGAATAATAGTTTAAATGATCTTAAACAATAAAACTTCTATAAGACAGATTTTTATTTCTTAATAATATATGATGTAATATTTTTTTGATATTAAAATATTTAAATAAAAATTGGAAATGGCAAAGGCCTTTTGTTTTGAAGAAGGTCCTGTTGGTGAAAATAGCAGCCGCGTCCATAAGCAATGAAGTGAGCTAGGCGCGTGTTATACATTTCCAAACAACACTCTGCTGGAATTTTTATGCGTTGCCCCCGTGCTAAAAGAAGAGAATCTCTCTCGCAGGCAGCCCGGCAGTAAAACCGTCTCGACATGCAATTGTACCATAGGAAGAAGAAGAAGCCAGTAGCAAAAATGATTATTTCGGCTCTCGACGCGTCGTAAAAATTCACTCGCACCCCCGCTTAAATCAACATCATGCGCGCCGACAAAAAGTAAAAAATTTATTCGCGTTTGTCAAACGCGCTGTCGTCGCTCCGCTCTGATGGGCAAACAACGTCAAAAGGCGGCTGCCGCGCTTTATTATGGCCACAGCATCATTATCTAAACTTGTGTGGGCGCTTTATTTACATGGCAATCTCGCGCTCTCTGAAATATGACGCTGAATTACAGCAGCTTTTTTTAAATTTTATGTGTGTTTGCGCTCATTTGCTCGATTTGTATCAAATTTATTCATGACGAGCAGCGAGTGAAGCACGTGACTTTGACGTTAATTGTGTTCAGTCGAGAGGGCTCGTCATTTTCCCGATATTTTTATATTATCTTGAAAATCAATTTTGATTTTCAATTAAGTGCATGGTTTATGAGCCGAATTAGCGGAGTTTTTGTGATGAATTATAATGGCTACACGGATAAGGAGATGCAAGTATTTAACAAAAATCTTATATAAATTAAATTTTTAAATAAAATAAGACTATTTTTAATAATAAATCTTTATAATTATTTATCTTGCCATTTTGTATTTTAATTTTTTTATGATAAATTAATTATCAATATTCATAATTATGTTATTTTATTTTATTTTAAACATAATTTAAATAATAATATAATGCAAATAATTTGTAATTTAAATGTAATAAATTCTTTCATTTCGATTACAGAATTGTATATTTCATGTATTGCAAAGTAACTTCAACCTTAGTGTAGTTTTTTTATTTTAAAAATGAATTATTATCATTTACTGGATTGTACATAAGAGATTTCAAATTCTTGAGACCTGAACCTAATTTTGCCCTCAATTTTTTTGAAGATTGTGAGTATTATATTTTGAAATATTATTATGAAGTTAATAACACTTAATTGATTTTTTTTGTGATCGATCAATTTTTACAAGAAAAAAATCTGGAATATAAATGTTGATCTATAATTTTTTTCAAGTAGATTAAATATTTGATCATTTTCTCCTCACGAATATAAAGAAACTCTGTTTGCCGTTCTCGTATTCAAGTATGGTACACTTGATGTCGCGCGTCCCTTTCATCTCGATCCATCAAAATGCACTAAAAATAATATATATTTCGGAAGGACCCTCCGACTATCTTTTGCACCATAAACATCCGTGGCTGTCTGCAGCTGGATGGGAAGCTTCCACTCTTATTCTCGCCTTTATTGCGCGTGGTGAAAAGCTTGAAAAGCGCGCCCGCAGCTCCAAACATGCTAATGCGTTTCATCGAAATCTGACCAGTTTTTCGTCGGCAGCTGCGAAAAGGGTAAATTCTCCCAAATAAGAGAGGGATGTCTTTTGATCTCCTTATTCTTTTGCAAATATGAAAAATGAGTGCGAAAAACTTTTTTTTAGGGCGTCATAATTATATATTAAAGGAGAACTAAAAAAGTAAAGTGGAAAGTTTATTACCTTTAAGGACGTCGACCTCCCCGGCGGTGCCGCCGTACTCGTTGGGAATGCACTCGGGCGGGAGCTGTTTGTGCAGGGTTTCGTGACCTGAATGCACCTGGAACTAAAAAGGAAAAACAATGTTACTAAACAGAATTAAATTTAATTAAAACAGAAAGAAAAGTGCAAAAATTAAGCGCAGTTAATTAATTTTTTTTATATAAAAAAAAATTTACTTCCTAAATAATTTTCACGCAAATTTAGTTTCGTTAAAATTGCAATTTCGTTTAAAAAATTCACTCTATCACATTCTGTTTTTTTAAACGCTGACGAAAGAATTTGGCACAAAAGTCATTAATTACAGATGCTTTTTCTGGGTCATGCGTGGGCGGATGGGTGTGTTTTTTATTCACCAGCTGATACACCGGACAGGGCGCGGGGTGAGTGAATTATTGGGGTGTGCGCGAGCATTGTGTGCGCGCGCGAGCCAGGGAGAAACACAATGGATATAGATAAATCTCACCCTGCTCCTCATTTTCTCCTTCATGAGCGAGCGAAAGAGCGTCAGCAGCTTGTCGATGTAGTTGGGCACGTTGAAAAGATGGATCTGCTTCAAGCGCTGCGGATAAGCGTCCTGCCAACACACAGAGCAAGCACAAATATAGGGGCGTCTGTTTCATCTTGTTCAGCGGGATTTAAAGGATTATTAGGACGCCAATCGCGGACAGGCGCCGGGAAGAACTTGGAACGCGGGTCGAGCAGGAAACTGGGCTCATAAAAGAAGTTATGGATTTTTGCTGTATTGTTTGGGCAGAAGGCACAAAATTGGATGGATCGACATGTTTTAAAATTCATATAACAATAATATAAAAAAATAAAATAAAAATGATTAGAATTTTTCACAATTTCTATTAGAAACAATTTTTTATACGAAATAAAATTATTCAAATAAATAAAAATAAAATGTTGATATTTTTGTCTATTCTGAATGTCTGCTATCATTAATTTTGTTTGAGAATTCAATTAACACTTTCAAATGTTTAAGCTGCTTATAATTTTTAAACAAAGGTGTCTCTCTTTTCGGATGCAAAATGTCAGGGTTGGTCGATGCGCACAATGCATATTTTTGTTCTTACCTGAGCGCAGGTGAGCATCCTGCGGAGGACGGGCATGGCGAGTCTGGTGAGGTGTCCGAAGGTCATGCCCTTCATGTCAAAGAGGTACACGTCACCAGAAAGGGCTTTTTCCTCCATCAATCGAATGTCGCCGAGCATGAAGACAAATTTGAAGCAGGCCCGCGCCGTGAAAGAAGCCGGATCCAGGTCGCGGAACTTGTGGAAAGTCACTCGACATCCGGACGGCGTCAGACGTTCCACCGGGAACACATCCCTTGAAAACCACAAAGGATGATATTAGTCTTTATGACACGCCTGGTTTCAAATGGAAAATTAGGCATGTGCAAAGTTAAAATTAATTTATCCAACTTAAATAATTTTTATTATATATAACATTTACTACTATTTTGAAGTGAATTATCGAGCTTAAATTAATTAATTAATTAAAAAAATCTACCCTTATTTATCACTATCGATATTTTTTTTATTTAAATGGATATTAACCCATTTTCCCTTTCTAATTTGTTAAAAAAATTACATATAAAGCATAATTTCCAATCATTTTAAATCAACATTTTTTAATCATGCAAAATTATGCACAATGATTAGTTTATCATTAAATCCTCAAGCATAATATAGAAAAACTATAGCCCTTCTTTTCACCACCATTGTTCTCCCTATAGTTCTTCCCTCTATGCCTTTCCATTTAAACACCGAGCGCAACACCTACTTTTATAGAAATGGTTATTTCCCATCGCAGCTGAGGTAAAAAAAAGGAAAACCAGCAAGTGGAGCAGTAATAATAATAGTGCTCTGCGCGGAATATGCACGCAAATCATTTCCATATTATCTCATGCACCTCTCGGACTGCAGTGGAATGTGAAATTCTTCTTTTATTGCAAAAAAGGTCGTTGAAGCAAAAATATGATATTGCAATTCTCAATCACTTAAGGCCGTCAGGTCAAAGAGATTTTAAAAGTCCATTTAAATTTTTGTTTGAGGATATAACGGAAATTACAATCAATGGGATATGATCATGGCTTTTCCTTATTGCAAAAATTGTGTGTGTTTTTTTTTTTTTTTTTTTTTTTTTTTGAAATTTTTAGTTTGAAGATTTTAATTTTTTTGTGTTAATATGTGGTTTGCAATTTTTCCAATTTTTGGTATTTTTCTTGCTCATGAAATAGAGTCACAGACCGTGACCAAAACTAGTAGAGCCATTTTTTTAAACAATTTTCGCAACGAGGAAAAGCCCGATCTTTTGATTCCTCGCGAATATTTATATTCACATTTAATTTGAATTTAAATCATATTTATTTTGGCATAAATTTTTTAATCATTACCAAATTTCCTTACAGAACCATAATTATCTCTGCATAAAAATAGAGATTTAATTTCAATCAAGGAGGTTAACAAAATATGCCAAACTATTGTGCATATTTTTCTCTATATATTATACGGTTCAGAGGCCTGGAAAAGTGAAAATGGTGGGCTCTTATTTGATTTATATGTGAATAACTAACTATATAATATAAATTTTCATTATGCGCCTAAATTTTTATGTTTTATTTTGCTTTCTACCATTTGTATAAATGTAAATTCAAATTTATTGTTACCAGTGTGTCATAAAATTCAAAATTTACTTACATTTTTACGTCGTACAATTAAATAGAAAGTAAAGTGCCCACGAAAAAAGAGCGCAATTTTAGCACATTCAAAAAGCCGTAAACCATAAATCGCAATAATAAACATTAAATATCAAGTTGACCCGGCCTATGCAAGTGTACTACTTTAACTCGACATTTTATATTTTCCTCTCGCTTACGAAACCAGTCACAAAGTTTATTGCGTTGGTCAAACGAGTTTCTTTCCATCTGACAAAAATGCACAGCAAAAAGTTATAAAGCTCTCGGCGCAATTAATCTCTGTGCGCTGGAATGGAGGTCGTCAAATCAGGTGCAATAATGTTCTATCTGCATTTACAAATCTCCGTGCTTTCCCCAACACTGCACGGACCACTACACAATAGACCGACGCTCGCGCAATTAAGAGTCCGACGAGACTTTCACTGTAGTCGAGCCTCTTTCAAAATTGTGTAACTCAAAAAAAGCTCATTACCGTTAATGTTCACTTTGATTGATTGAGATTTCACCTCTCTCAGGTGCGACTTTAAAGATGAGAAAAAAAAATATACTCACATGGTTTTGAACATGCTCTGGACGTCCTCGTTGAGCGGGTCGCGCTCGCTGAAGAGCTCGGGCGCGTCGGCGCGCATCGTGAAATAAGTGTCCAGCTTGGACTTGGTCCTGTTCAGGTCGTGCTTGCAGCCGCGAATAAAAGTCATCAGCATCCTCTCGTCTGCCAAACAATATCACAACAACAAACGTCAGCTTACGAAACATGACCTATGGCAATTGTTATAAAACCACGCCTGGAAATGATTAATAATGTTTGGTCCTGGGATTAAAATATTTCTTTGAAAGGTCAAAACTCATCGTCATGAATCGTTCCTGGCCCAGCTGCCAATGATTTATTGCAATGAATTAACATATCAGCCACGTGAGCAGTGTTCAAATATGAAAAAAAATTAAATATAAATTAAATTTAAAAAAATCCCTCAAGTTCAAATATCTGATGAAAATCAATGCAAAAATTGACAAAAATTGAGATGAAATGGCCCCCGAGATTAAGCAGATTGCAAAGCTACCGCTGGTTCCATTTTCCAAAAGGAATAAACAACTAATGAATTAATTAAAAAAGATAACTGAGAAACTGATGGTTTTGCTAAGATTTGTATTTGAAGGGATTTAATATTGATATTTCAGCTATTTGAATTTTTATTGAAACTTGAAATAATGATTGTGTTTTAACTGTTTAGTATATAAAGTTTTTTTTTCATTGTTATGTGAATCATACTTTAAAATGCGTTTATTTGTTAATATCTGCAAATTATGCGATGCTGAATTAATAACTTTAATTTATTGGTAAATTAAAAAAAAAGCAAGCAATGAAAAATCGATCAGACTAAATATTTGTTGTCTTTAGAAAAATTATTATTCAATAGCTGTTTTTAATACAATGGGAAAGGGTTTTTTTAAATTTTTTTTTCTTGTTTAATTATACTGACCCATTTTGTTGGGCAGATGGGGTTGCGAGACGAGCCATATCTTGAGGTGTTGCAGGGCTGCGTCCCTCTTCTCTGTGGACGACTCGTTCAGCTCTTGCAAGATGCTAACGAGTTGTTCGGGCGACGCGTGTTGGAGAGCCATACTCGAGCCTTTGCGGGACGAAAAGTTGCCGGGCGGGTTTTTTACCTTGGCCTGTCAAAAAGAGAAGATGCGAAAAGCCGCTGTTAAAATAATGTGTATTAGCCCAAGCGCGAGTTTCAAGGCGCCGAAAATTTACGCGCACACACTAAGAAAGAAAACACCTTTGCAAAACACAAGACCGCGCGCGCAAAGACTTCAAAGTAACCTTCAAGCACGTTTTCATTTTGCCCCAGCACGCGCAGAGCAAAAATTTACATTGAGAGTTTAAATTTCAATAATTAAATAAATTTGCATTCAATTTATTTTGCACTGTAAACGGAATTTTGTTTGTAGAATATTATTTAAAAGATTGTACATACTAATAATTAATAAGTAATTATTGATTTCCTTTATTCTATCAAGTTTGAGCTAAAGAATGTATTTTTTTACTATATTTTCTTATTACATTATTTATTTAAATTTTTTCTGATAATATATTAATAATTATTATAATATGTTGTTAAATTCTTGCAAATTTAAAATAAACAAAAATTTTGTAGCAAAATTTAAAAACTTCAAATAATGAGGTGTTTAAATAAAGTAATTTTAAATTTTTTACAAGTATTTCAATATAATTTATAAATCTAGTAATTAATTTAAATTTGTAATATCAATTTATGCATACTTTAAAATGTGGTAAATTTACTTATATGAATATTTAATAAATTTAAAACATAAATTTTTAGTAAATTCAAATATAAAATCTAAAATTGAAAAAAAAAATATCTTACCTTAAGGAGCCAGTGTGGAGTTTGAAGAAAATAAGTAGGTTGCCTGGAAGAGCAGTGATACCTCCAAAGGTTCGGTCACTACTGACTAGCGAAACAAACGCGTTCTTCTCTCTGTTTACGGCGCCCCGAGAAGCGGCTCGTTCGCCTTCTTCCGATCAGGTGCTTGAGTTGAGTAGGTTTTCCTACGTAATAGTCGAGGCCATTACCACGCGAGAAAAGGAGTTTAGATCATCTGATCTCTCTCTCTAGACAAACGCAAAATTAAAAGTAAAACAACAAGTGCGCGCGTTGCGTCAGAGACAAGAAGTGCCACTTGATTGTTAATTGCAGCCTATCCATGTAGCACGAGACTCGGTATATCGGAAATCGGCGCAATATAATTTGATACAGCTTTTGATTTGAATGCGAATTGTCAGGGCTGCCGGTCATTACTCGATTTGCAATTGCAGTCACCTTGGTGCTTGAGAGCGGAATCGCAGATGCAACTGGACGAACTGGATATATCTTTGATTTCCGTTAAAAGAATCGGGTTTCTTCTTCTTCCGGCTGACCTTTTGTGACTAGAATTGTGGACTTAATTGAAAGGAGATGATTGACGTATATATATGTTTGTTCTCTACACATTTATGTTGATTTTCATTAAAAATATCCTTCTTCTGTAAAAGTAGCGAATAATTAAATTATTAAATTTCAAGAATATTTTTTGATGAAATAAACATTAATTAGGTAATATTTAATTAATATAATTTTGGAATTTTAGTTTCAATTTAATATAGCGTTAAATTTTAAGCATTACTCAAGTTGAAATAAATATATTTTGCAATATTTTTGTTCCGAATGTAACATGAAATTAAAATATTATTTAATTTTTGAGCCTTATAACTAATAAAAAATAATTTTTAATTATTAGATAATGTGTAATTGATTTGTAAAATTAAAATTACATGTAAGCTAATTTTTTTTTCATTAATTTTTAAATTAATTTAAATTGAGGTTTTAAGTAATTGAATAATAACTTATATTAGTTTAAAAAATTTATAATATTAAAATAATAGAAATAAAAATATTTAAATATAATACAAACGTAATTCATGTGTTGCATTAATTAGGTTAGGGCTCAAGAATAACATGGGAAAAATATTAAATAATATTTTATTTTTGTAGTAGAAGTTCACGATTGAGGGTTGATTCATGGTGGATTGAATTTAAATTCAATCACGAAAAATTGTCAATTTGAAAGAAAAATAAGTTTAAAAAAATATTTAATTTTGTACTAATTTTTGTCAAAATGTTTTTCACAGCTCATGAATTATGGCTGCAGCCCGCAGCCGAAACATGTAGAGCAGGATATTGTTTTTCTTAAACAATAAAAACTCAAAAAAACCCATCGAGGAAAAGCCGAATTTAAATTCAATCCACCAAATATTTTATTTATTAAACTTTATCTCGAGCAAATTGCCGAATAATACTTTTGATTGGAATCCGTGGGAGTAAAAATTAATGGATATTTATGAAGACATTGGGTTTTTTACAACAAGGAAAAAGCCCGTTCTCTCTTCATTTCCATGATCATCTCTTATTGTTAGTGTTAATTTCTTCAAAAAATTAATGACGGATTTTACTTATTTCCAAATTTGGTAACTAAAATTTTTATTTATGATCAACTGATAAATGATAAGGCAAAATGTGCAAAAATATATGTTAAAATTGCTCTTTAGAAAAAAATTAAATTTGTGTGATGGCATGTCAGAAAGCAGCAAAAATCTTTATTTTATTTTGACAAGATGAGCTGAAATGGTTTATGCAGACAAGTGACTCGCCAGATTTGCCACTACTTGAAAATTAATATGCACAGAAATAGAAGTGCAGCACTCATCATTGTCAAAACAAATAAACAAACTCAACTGCCCTGACGCGAGTGAGAATAATAAAAAACACCTTCAGAGTATATATTATGTGTGTGTGTATTTTTAGATTCTCGGCAACACCTCCTTACAAGATCAAATTTTCCCAAGACAAAATTTTTGCAAAAGTGAGTGGCGACTACAAATTGTACAAAATCGGTCCAATTCTTACAAAATCATCACATTTCCCGCCTTAATCACTACCAACAGACATATGACACCAAAGATGCAAGTTTTTTTCTTCTTCTTTCAAAATCCGAATAGGCCTCGGTTATATGTTTGCATAAAATTGCAAGCTGCTCATTACAGATGTTGCTTTCAGAGAGGAATAATAAAAAATATTGCTAAAATTGCTTTAAAATACTCGAGTGTTTCAACACAATTCAGTTGACAAAATAATTATATAATCACATACAGGACATGATTAAAATTACAATTAAAGAATATAAGAGGGAATAACGTTTCAGGAGAGAGAGGAATGAATAATTCTTGTTAGCGACGCAGCTAAGAGAATGCGTTTCACATGCATGCCATGGTGAGTGATGAAAAGTTTATTAATTAGCTTCATTTTTTGGTGTTCGAGCTTTTTACACAATTTTATATACTTTGCAAAATGAATGACTCTTGATATACATAAGGTTGCTTTGTGATAAATTGTCATCCCTTCTTATCAAGTCCAGCACGTATGGATTCAACAAATAGGTACAAATTTGGACTTGGGGCAAAATATTGAATGATGTAGTGAGCCCAGGGACGAGCACTTTTCTTATGCAAGTTCATGGTATGTGGATTATAAGTTGTTTTGAATCGCATTGATTATAAATTCAAAGTCTGTCGTATCATCTACTCATTTTAAAAGTCACTAAAATCTCAAAACTGGCAACTTTTGAGCACTAACAAACTGTCTGTTGTGATCGCCGAAGAATTCCACACGAAGCTTCTTTTGCCGAAAGAAATAAGGAACCAATTTTGGCACAGATTAAACAGAGTAGAAAATAATATTAATATTTTTTTTTTATAAATTTGCGCGCGCACAACCAATTGATTGAAGAAGTAGAGAAGAGGAAATGTGGTGGAATTCGCTGGCTGGCAAGACGTGCAGATGGGCAGCCAGTCTCGCTAACAACACTTGCTCTTGCTTTTCCTAGACTTGCCGCCCATGCCGATCTTGACGGTCTCACCACTCTGGTTCTGCCGCTCCTTTCGTTCTTTCTTAGTATACAGGACTTGTCTTGTAATGCTCATGAACATCTGGAAAAGTAAATCAAAATTAGACAAATATCCACAAATTTTATGTTGAATTTGAAGCACGAACATGAATTGCTGTTAAATTTAATTTCTTTTTAATTTTTTTTTAACTTTAATGTTTCATTATTTATATTTTCTATTATTATTTTTGTTTAATTGTCAAAATTGTTACATCACATAATTCAATTGTTGAAAAAAATTTATTTGAAAAAACAGGAATTGTTGTACAAAACGGCACCGCCACTAGCAGGAATTTTGCTCAAACTTTCGAGATCAAAAAGACCACATCAGTTGCACTGAGCCTTGGTTAACTAAGTCTTTTGTTCTTTTATGTAAACAATTTATTTAATTCCATAAATTTTAAATAAACTTTGTTATTAAAATTGTTGAAATAAAAAATAATTAATATAATATTTTGAAATAAAATTTCATAGAAAAAATAATCTGTATAATTTCAGTACGTTATTTATATGTGCGATTTTTTTCCGGAAAATTTAATTGAATTTTCATCTTAAAATTTGGCATTTACATGGGATAGGAAACTTATTTTAAACCCGTCCTATACAGAAAAAACCCTACTTGTCTACTTTTAAAGTTCAGTTTTTTATACTTACGTCTTCAACGTTAATATTATCCTTCGCGCTCGTTTCGAAGAGCTGAATGTTCATTTGATCTGCAAATCTCTGCGCATCCTCCGTGAGGACAACCTTCTTGTCGGGAGAGTCATTCTTATTTCCAACTGAAAGCATTAATTGATTAATTAATTATTTAAAAATAAATTTCAAATATGTCATTGTTATTTAGCAACAAATAGCAATTAATTAGTTTTTTTATGCAGTAAATCACTTGACTGAATACTTTTGATAAAAGATGTAGTTATATTTATGCAAAAAAGCATTGGAATAATTATTATTAGAATATATGCTCGAGTTATTAGTAAATTTGTAAGGTTTCATAAGTAATCTCGAGTGCTGACCTAATATCCTGTTGACTACTTCGCAATTCTGCTCAATTTCGTGGAGCCACCGCTTGACATTTGCAAAGGACTCGCCGTTGGTAACATCGTAGACTACGATCACACCGTGTGTGCCACGATAGTAGCTGGAATTAAAATTTTTATTGAAAACAAATTGATTTATTTAAAAAAAACTTGGATTTTACGTCGAGGTGATGGTCCTGAAGCGCTCCTGTCCGGCCGTGTCCCAAATTTGCAGCTTGACGCGTTCGCCGTCCACATCGACTGTGCGGATCTTGAAGTCGACGCCGATCGTTGTGATGTAACTTCCTGAAAATGTGTTGTCCGCGAACCTCAGCAGAAGAGAGCTTTTGCCCACACCTAGAAAAAAATGGAAAATTTATTACAAAATTCTGCTTTGTGCTTTTAAAGGAATGAACAGCAGCTGGACCCGCCAAATGGACATTCAAATTTTTACAAATTAGCGCGTCCGCTCCACGATCTTATCGTCTAATGAAGTGGGAAGTCGCGAATTATCTGCGTGACGTCACACCCTCGGGACCAAAAATTAGAGGCCTTCTTTGACCACTTCGTTATCTTAAGAGCAAAATTTCCCATCAGAAAGGAAGGCGTAAATTTAACTAAATCGACGGAGACGTTTGATTTCTGAGAATTGATGCCCAAAATTGGCGAATTCAGTGTTTGGAAAGCTGTCGGAGAGGCGTGGACGTACCACTGTCGCCGATGATGAGCAGCTTGAACAAGTGGTCGTAGTCTTTGGCCATCGTGTCCGGCCTTTAAATCACTTCCTCTCAATCTTGTCTCAACCTCCGCAAGCTGATTCGGCCGCTAAAACGCGTTCGGCGTCCATGAAACGTTGTATTCCATCACGGGAAACTCGACTTTCTTCACTTCTTGCGAATGAATCACTCCCGTTGTTGACCGTCCGAACTCTGCAGTGATGCCAACATAACAGAAATCAACTCAATCACGTATTTCAATTTCCTATAAGACAAACCGTGAATAAAGGATTAAAATTATTTGAATTTACATTTTACAATAAATTGCGAATTAAAAAAATTATATTTGAAGCATTTATGTCAAAAATAGAAGTGATTATCTTAGATCATTCATATGCTTTGGTTGGTAGTTTGAAAGGGCGGTGTCAGCGTTCCCTGCAGGCTTGAAGTTTGGCGCGAATGCTGCATGGTAACTGAGTCGTCTGTGGGATAGGAAGAGATACGTCAGCAGTGGCCTTGCGCAATCAGGCTGATGTGATGATTATTGCGGTTTTACATTTTCTTGTTTCCATTTACGGCCTTTCACTTATTTCATAATGTTCCTTGTCCGTGCAAAACCGCATATTCATAATCGAACTGTTTCATGGATAAAAAAAATGATAAATTTTGGTGATTTGAATTCGAAGCCGGCTTTTCCTTGATGGGTTTTGTGAGTTGTTTATTAAAAAAAAAAACCATATCCTGCTCTGCATGTTTCAACCGAAGCCATAATTCATGAGCTGCAAAATTATTTGGTAAAAAATTAGCACAATATTAATTTTATAAAAGTATTCAATTTTTTTCTCAAAAATTCTTTCGCTTACAATTTTTTCACCAATTAATTTTTAATTAATTTATGTACTAATTTTTGTCAAAATAATTTCACAGCTCATGAATTATGACTGCAGCCCCAGCCAAATCATTTATTATTTTTTTCTTAAACCACTCATAAAACTTATTGAGAAAAAGCCGACTTTAAATTCAAATCTCCAATGTCGATCGTGAAATTCTAACTACAAAATTATGTTTTATTGATGACTTATTATTTTGATCAGGAATGGCAGAGTAAATAAAAGACATTTGACATATTCTTTTTTTGTATTTTTATAACTTTATTTTATATGATTCCGTTATAAAGTTTGTTTCCTTTCTCCCTCTAAACAGAATGGTTTTATCTCTGCGGCGCCACGCAATGGCCTCCGATGTGCCGAACAAACTAAGCTGCGTCTTTGCTTCACGCAGTTTCATCAGTAATATTTTCTCTTTTTTTTACAACTCTTTTTATTTGACCCTCGTTTGTTCTGGCGACGGCACTCGGGCCGGCGAACACGCGGCCGCCGCTCGATGCAACGCATGTGTTCTGCTTAGAAAAGACAAAAAGTCTTATATAAGAAAATCAATCGTTATCTTTTAAATATTTTATAAAGAATGGGGATGTGTGAAGACATTTCTTTCTTTTTTCTCATTTGCATAAATTCGGGAAAAAATTACGCAGGGAAATCTTTCATTAATTTTTATCCTTAATAAAAACTTATCAAACCGTCGGTCGCATCACTGCTGAAAGTAGCGGCGGGTGCACTTTGGGGTTCAGATAAGTTGTTTGCTCGCATATTTTTAATATAATAAGTGTACTATTAAATCGTCGCATATATAATAATATAATATAATAATTAATATACCTCGCTCGCGTTCAACTATATAATCGTAATTTATAATCATAATTCTTCTCGTACTCGAATGCAATATAGCTCGCTAAAGAAATTCATAGAGAGTAGTGTGTGTTTGTTTGTGTGTGAGAGTGTGTCGAGTGTATGTCCTTAGTAAAAACCAATGCAAGTATAAGTTACTTCTTATTCTTTTTTTTTTTGTTCTTCATGTAACCGTATCTCATCATGTTTTTGCATCGTTAGTTAATTAATAATTAATGTAACTGTACATTTGGGCGGTTGCTAGCTTTTATTTTCACATTTGTATCCGTAAGGTATAGAAAGTAGTACTTTTCCCAATTTCCAAACATTTTTTTTTTACATTAGCACTCTCTCTGGGCGAATTTCGGCCAATCCCTCTTTCTCCCGTTCCACTCGTGACTTTCCTTTCCTCTTTGCTTATTTAAATATATAATTTTAATGATATTTTTGCACGCGCGCGTGTTTTTGTCGGTAGATTTTATTTTTGTTAACTTTTGTATAGCTCTCTGCGTTTTTTTTTCTTCTAACATGATGATGAGAATGCGTTTTCCGTTTTGGCATTTTTAGCATTTCACAATCAAATGTTTCGAAAGCAATGTTCGGAAAAAATGCTGCTATCACTATATAGTTTTCTCCCATATGAAAATTGTCCTCTCAGCTCCCACTCTTTTCGCTACAGCAATTTTGGTCTGAAGGACGAAATGGAACATTGTCGTCGCGCGTTTTTTCTTTTTGTTTCTGCCAAACACGCATTTCCTCGTTCGCTTTCACGGCAGAGTGCGAGAGAGAAAGAGATAGATTGATTACTAACTAGGCATCCAAGTCGCTCGCTATTAACCTTAGTTAGATTTGCTCTTGTCAACCCTTTAAGTCCTAGTGTTGTGTGTTGCGTGTGTGTGTGTGAGTGTACATTGTCCTTACAATATTATTAAATATTTTTCTTCTTATAAGTACTCCTTGTTTCATTTTTAATTATCTCACGCTTAAATCGAGTCAGGAAAGTAGTATGTGGCGTGTGGTATAATTATAAGTACAATAATAAATAATTAGTAATAAATATATACGATTTGAAGATTAATCAAACGGCGAAATTCAATCTACATTATATGCCTTTGTAAATATTTAGAGTTTACGCGCGCGCGCGTGTGTGTGTATGCATAATAATCATAGTCTTAAAGAGAAGAAGATGCTTTTCTTATTTTTATATACCTTTGAATTTCTCAATGTAAAAAATCCCGTCTCTCAATTGTATCCTTTCCCTATTTTTCATTTTTTAACAACACAATGTTCTCTTATTTTTTTAAGTAAGTATAGGTTGTGTAGTTTGTTTGTTGGTTGCTTTTATCATTAGTTTATAATAATAATATTTTTTCTTTTTATATCGTTTTTTTTTAATTAAAAGAGTTTCCAAGCTCCAACATCTTTTGTGTTGTTGTTTCGTTTCTGATATGCTAATAAACAGAGATGATTTCCCCATGCAGTTGGATGAGAGAGTGAGAAGTGTGTGTCTGAGTGTTTGGATGGACGCTAAATCGAATCTTGAAAAGAAATTAAAACTTTTTTCCTCAACCATTATTGGTTGAGCTATCTGTATTTTTTAATTCTCTCCTAAATCATCATCTCGGCTGATCTAACAAGTCCCATTCGCAAGCTTTGACAGAGAAAGAGAGATAAAATTGTTACACACACCGAAATAACAAAAAAGAGAGTCAAAATCTGTGAGCCGTTTTGTTATATAGAGTGTGTTGCGTTGAAAGTTGTAGCGCGCACCATAATTTTCTGTGTTTAGCAGTTCTTCAATTACATAGCACGATATAGTTAGTTTTACATTTTACAATTGTGGCACTATTTGAGTGAAATCATCTTCTCAAAAATACTGACGCTGGTCTTCTTGAATGCACTCTACCTGTATTTAGAAAGATGCTGAGACGTTTTTGTGTGTATTTTAATCATTTTTTCCCTCCACGCACGTGTGATTTTGTTTATATTTCTTGAATTTTTTTCTCACAGCAGTTCAAAAAAGCCTACTTGATTTGTAATTGAGTGAATTTTTTTTCATCTACGTAAATCTGCACACACATTTCTGTGTCGGGAGTTTCACAATCGCGGGCTTGTTGCATTATTTACAGACACAAGTTGCCAAAATAGACAGTTTCACTTGCTGATATTTAATTATACACACGATGATTGGTACACACGGGATGTCGCCGCGTGCCGGCAGGTCATTCGCCAAGAACTGAGTGGTTTTCGCGGGTTTTTAATTACTTTTGGTCTGATAAAACATCGTTTGTTCTTTTTACACGTGGAATCACAGAAGTTTCATCCTTTGCAAACACCTAAATCGCGCAACGCAAGAACCGAGTATGGAGATTTGTGTTGAAAACTGAACCGTTTTTTGAGAGATCCAACAACCGTTTATGCCATGATTGCATATATTATATTCTATTTAGTTAGTCCAGCTTGTCCAAATCGGTATATATGGCATTTTTCAAATGCTCCATTTTTTAGTTTTGGTTTAACCGAGGGAAACAAGGACTGCAGCACCACTTTGGAGATTCTTTCGGTCATTTTTCTTTTGTCATTTGAAGCAAGAGAGCGTATGAGTGTATTTTCCTTTTTAAATTAATAATCATTATTATTGTCTCTTGTGAGAATGCAACGCACGGAGGCGTCGCACTGCTTTGAGAAGCGAGCGGAACATTGAAAAGACAACAACAACCATGGGATAAACAATTATTTTCAATACCATCGAGGATCAGGCGTTTTTTATTTTATTCCATATCTTTTTTTTGTATTTTAAACAAGAGAGTATTTCTGTGATTGGTTTTCCTTTTAAAAGTGCGTTCGCCACACGTACATGTATTAAAGCTGTCCTTTTTTCTTAACTTTTTTGTCTTGATTTGTGTGTGTTTTTTTTTTATAATCCCACGTCATTATAAATCGCGATTGATCACTTTGATTCGGAAAGAATTTCATGTAATATTTTCAAACGCAAATTATCCATATGATTTTTCTCAACGAGAGATGATGCACTTTTTCGCACACACTTCCAAAGTCACAAGAGAGATGGTTGCGTCATCTTTGTAATTCCGTGGGGTATTTTTAATTACAATTGTTATTCGATTACAATGCGCGTTTATTTACACGATTTGCATTCCTGTCTCTATTTACAAGGCATCCAAGAAACCAAAAGCGAGAAGTGAGAGATTTATTTTTTATGAAGAATGCTTCCCTAACGGAAAAGGTCCGATTCTAGCTGAGAGACACACCGAGTGATGATTGAAGTGGCTTTTTGAGACTTTCTCTTGAACACTATTCGTTAATTAATCAAACTGTTTCTACCAAGCTGCTGATTTCAGGAGAGAGTTTGTTTTCAGTTGCTAATTTGCCAACTATGCAACATCGAATCTTTGTCGTACAGAGACGGTTAGCAAAAGTAGTCAATCAACCTCGCGTTTTCTCCTTTTTAACGTTAGTATGTAAAAAAGTCAGTCTTTCTACTTACATACTTAATAATTTTGTCTGATTTTTTTTTCTCATATCCATACCCCCATATTTTAAAATGTGTTGTTTGTATCCAGTGTGTGTGTATTTATGAAGTGTAGCATTTAAGGGGCTAATTTCTTTTTTTCTTTCTTGATTTTTACATTTTTTGCAGTTTGATTTCGTGTTATTTCTCTCTCTAAAAATGTGCTGTCTCATATGCGTCGTGTCCACGCACCATTTTCCATCTCACCTATCCTACCGTGTGTTCGATTGAGTTAAATTTTATGTATAATTTTTTATTATTTGAAGCGAAAGTAGCAAAGAGAAGACAGACGGGATAGGTGGAAAACAAACGTGCGTTTCCTCAGCAAGCGCGCGCTACATTGACTCGTGTGTTATGTGTGTACAAATAAGTTGTTTGTTTTTTGAGCTATTTATATAATATGATTTTTGCAGGTTTAATTATATACGCGTGCACACTACTGTCAATCCTTTTATTTACGACTCGTGTTTTAAAAAAATTACCTTGTCATAAGAAATTCAACACTTTTTCCTATCAAATTACGCTTGGAAATACCTCTTTCGCTATTTAAGATTTTGTTGACAGAAAAACACAGACATGATTAACTATGAAGTAAAAGCATACCCTGTATCCAAGATCACTTGCATTGCTGTTTTTTTCTTTACACAATTTATATTATGCGTAATAGTACGGCTGTTTAAACGGGGGGCTTGAAAAATGCATCTTCACAGTGTCGTAATTATACTTTCTTATCAAAGTTGAATCTTATCGATAAACAGACTGAACTGCTTTCTTCAGCTACTGCAAGAATAAGTTTACGATTTTCTTAATCAAGAGCAATAATTAAGGGATAGTGAGAGAGAGTAACTCGCGCTGAGACGCTAAAAGAAACCTCTTTTTATACTCGTATCATTATAGACCTAAACCTAGTCCTTAAAGACAAATTCTCGCGACTATTAAGGATATTATCCCATCGTTTCTCTCGATTATATTTTAAGCAGCAAACTGATATCTCTCTTACACTGGTTGTCAAACGCCTTCTTCTTGAAACGCGATTAAATAAAAAGTGACTGCGCAAAACTACTGAAAAGCAAAGAATCTTTCCACACGACATCGAAATGTTTCTGCCAGCAGTTTCTCTCAACAACGTTTTGCTAATCCGGGCTTTTTGATTTCAAAATTTTCACTCATCATGAGACTGACTAGAATTATATCCGAAAGTAGCGAGATCAAAGCAACTCGACTAAAGAGGTATGCTAAATGTTTATAGCCCTGCGCTGATAATAAAAATATATCATTGACCACCAAAATTTCTTTACTTTTTTTTTGTACCTTGTGATATTTTCTGTCAACTGATGCGCGCACGAAATAACTCATTTTACAGCAGTGTGTCAGCCTTGTAAGGCTATGTTTTGCTTTTTTAACCTTAAATAGCAATTCAAGATGTATGGCTAATGATCAACTTCATACGCTTTTCATATAATATAATGCTGAGAGTAGCTTGAGGTTATTTTTATGTACATAATTACGCTTCTTCTAAGTACTCAAAAGTCAAATTACTAATTAATTCCAATAATGGAATGGAGGAAAATTAGTCGCATGTTTATATAATATTGTACTCTGGACAAATGAACTAGAAAATAATGCACACCGTTTAATTTCCACACGCAAATAATGGCTCTTCTGCCGGCTCATAACCCTGACTTAACTATTAGCAAACAAGAATCAATCGACTTAATTTTACAATAAAAATTCTGGGCAGCTGAATTACTGAATAAATCCTTCTGCCGCTTGCACAACTCTATTATAAGCCTCAGTTTTTACACGTGTGTGTGTTCGTAATGCAGGAAATTAACACAACATTCGAGAAAACTGAGAAAAGTGATTGGCGGTGCGCCGTTTTTAACAAATCAACAGAATTGGCTAATGTACACCTTGCAGTCGGAGAACAATCAACGCAGGAGCCGAATAAAAATTAACACAGCGAGATTGTGTAACACTCAAAATGCGCGCAATTATCACAGCTGAACAAGCAACAAAAGTGGCGGCAGCACGTTGGTGGGAAATCATACAAAATCGTGATAATTCACAGAGATGGAGTTAATGTTAGTCAATTAATTAATTAATTAATTTTACACAACAATATTTTGTTTAATCATAAGTCAAAGTGCTTATCTAGATGCATCTCAATGGATCACTCTTGTTTTATCTTACAGCATTTAAACCTCGTCATGTAAATATTTTAATTATTTATCATCATCATTGAATTGTTTTATGCATATTATCATAATAATCGCGTGTGTGTGTGAGAGAGAGTGAGACAGGAATATAGAGTAAAAGAGCGACTTTTTACAATTACAGGGCAGGAAACTTCGGGGCTGATGGGTTCCTCTCTTTAAACCTTGTCGTTTTTTAATGTATATGTATTTAACCTTAATTAAGAATAATACTTTTTTATCATCTCGATTCCTCGCCTACTCGCTACTAGTAGTTAGTTTGCCTAAGGGTAATGTTGTGTGAGTGTGTTTTCTCCCGCGCTAAAGAACTCTAGAATGACTATATGATCATCTCTTTCTCAATTGTCAGTAGTAATAATATATAATAATGCGCATATACGTCAACACTGTTCATCATCATGATCAGAATATTTTTTTTCTGTTTGCGATTTGTTCCGCGCGCAGTCGACTAATCGCCCACTCGTATATCCGACGACATAAAAATGCACACAGTGAGGTCCGTTCGCGGCGCAAATCAATCCTTTGGTCATCTGCGTTTCCGCCGTCGTCGGTGGCGGGCGATCGGCGCCGATTTCCGCGGGCAGCGAGAACAACGTCTTAAAACTCTTTGGCAAGCTGTACAAAAGCAGTTGCGACGATTCGTCGGCCAATTGTCCGTGCAAACGCTCGTCGTCAACGTGGCAAATTTCTTCTCTCTCATGATAAACCGCAATCGCATCCAATCAATCTTGCTAATTTTACGAAGAAGGGGGCGTCGTCGCCGCAAAGTACGCTCCTGGCGAAGAAGTGTCACCGAGCGAGAAGTAGAAGCATTTCAGCGAATCTTGCATGGCACACCTGCGAGCACAAGAAATTTATAAGTTGTATTATTTTTTTTCCAACGTTTTCGACTCGCAGGGTGGCGTGACGCACGCCAGCACTCACGCCAGCAACAGGTCTCTTTAAAGCTCTCGTCGGGGTGGAGAGAACGAACCGTATAATATTGTGAGCTCCAAAACCTGTTGCTGCGCGTGTTCCTCTCGCCAAAGCTTGGCAAATGTTTAATTGGCTTGGCCGTGTGCCACGCGCGCTCAATTTTTAGTCGCCCTTTCAACAGGTTCGACCAAATGACACAGCGTATAAAATAAATTTGTCAATTTCAAGAGAGATGCTTTTTAATCGTTGAAACACTGATTATTTATAAATAAATTTAAAATAAAATTGGTAAAAAAGAATTTATTCTTAAAATAAATTATAGAGTTTGATCAATTAAAAAAAAAAACAAACAGTGATTTATAATTGATATAAATATTTTATTTATATTAAATATGATAATATTATTTTAATTAATGAATTTAAAATATATTTATTTTGAAATTTAATTCCGTAAAGTAAAACACAAATGACAATGAGTTGCCTAATTTCATATTATTATTATTGTTATTATTATTATTATTATTATCATTATTATTATTATTATTATTATTATTATTATTATTATTATTATTATTATTATTGTTGTTGTTTATTCTACTCTAGTCATACATGAAAAAAATTGATTTGGAAAAAATGTTTCCTTTAGATATCTATGCAATCTCTTGACAGGCGTGTCGTGCAGGTTGCATATTTATTAAAAAATTTGACTGATGGAAAATCTATGTTGGTGACCGACACGAACTTTTCATTGCAATGTTCGGTCTGAAATCACCAAGATTTATATTATATCTTGAATTCCATAACAACTTTATTGAAAATTAATCTTTAAATATGGAATAAATTTTCATCTCATTCTATTATTTCTTGATTTATTCCCTTTTTATTCCATCAGCATCTATTTTTTATTTTCGTTGAAAATGAATATTATAATAAAAGAAAGTCAAATATACCATTCACACAAAGTGATCGGTCCCTAGGTTGAAAGTGAGGTTAGTAAGGACGGTTGGCGTCCTTGGGCCTCTTGAGCTGCACTTTGAGTCTCTTCATGCCGATCTGGAAGCCATTCATAGCCTGGATGGCTGCCTGGGCGCTCGCAGGGTTGTCGAAGCTGACGAAACCTGTTTCGGCGCAAAGTGCGTGCATTAGAACGTTTGCAATCAGAAAACGCGTAATGGAAACTCACCGAAGCATTTGCTCTGGTTCGTTGCCCGGTCGATAAAGACTTTTGAACTGATGACGTTTCCGAACGGAAGGAACATTTGCATAAGCTCGGCGTCTCCGAACTCTTGAGGTAAGTGGTAGATGAAGAGATTGCACCCCTCTGGTCCCGAGATCGAACACCCTGGATCAAATAGAGAAAGGGTTATTAGCACAGGGTCGGTGGGGCAACAACGAGAGAACTTCATCTGGCCCTTCATATTGGATAACTGATCGAAGAGGGCTCTATTGTTTTCTCAATCGAAATGGATGGCAAATCTCAGACAGGCGGGAGAGAGAGAGATAGAGAGATAGAGGGATTTAATTAAAAGAGGAGCCAATTACGGACGGTTCGTCCCGATGGGCGCAGAAGCTACGAATTTGAAAAATGTAATTTGTGAGAGCAAACATCTTAGCAAAATAAAAAACTGTGCAGAGAAACATCAACTTGGGTAACTTTGCTTTTCCCTAGCAGTGGTGGTCAAGAGGAAAATAAAAAATAATTATATATGTGTTTTCTAAAGATCAAGGAAAGTACACATCCATATCGCACATCAAGGCACATTAAAATATATATACCGAGATTTGTGGAATGAACCAAGGGTGAGATTAAAATAATCAAAACAAAAGACACTCATATATGAACCACACAGAAAATATGTAAGAGATGCAGAAATGCAAAAAATATAAATGTATATTTAAATAATGTGAGAGCAGAACTATATAATATGGGTAGTAAAATTTGCTAAAATACTATGGCCTATTCAACTGAGGGTTTCGGGAAATTGCGGCTATCAACTATGTATATAATATTATATGACTCTGTCGAGTAAACACAAAAGGGGTCTCTCTCTCGCGTACACGTGGAGTTGGTGAAGATAGAGAGAGTGAGAGAGAGATTGTTGATCATGTGACCTCTAATTATGCATGGCATCCTTACCTTCCCTCTGAGTAGGGGGAACTGCCGTAATGGGTTGGGCAATAGCTTGCGTGAACTGGCCGTATACTGCGGGATAAGCTGCCGACAAGATATTTTTTTTTATGACACACATTTATTACACGAGTACTCTAAATCTTAAGTTATTTTCTCATATTAAAGTACTTGTTACTCTTTTACAATGATTTTTGCTTCAGTTATGTAATTTTTTTTTTCATTTTCACTACTATTGATAAATTAATATGGATCGAGATGTGTGTTTGTGACACTGATAGAAGCACTGATCGGATCCGAGTCGATGGACACCACAGATTGTTCAAGTGATTTGTATTTTTGCTTGTATTTATCACATTTATCTGACAAGATTTAGTGAAAGTCGGTTCAGAGATAGAAGGAGAAAGTGTTGAGAAATTAGAAAGACTACAGGAGTTTCGTATATGAAGTCGAATTCGAAATTATTTTCTTTCGAAAACTAAAAAATGCACACACGGAGGCACGGAGAGAAGCTACGGAAAGAAAAGAGCACATCAACATTCAGAGCGCTCAAAACACAAACACACATTAAAAAAATTTATAAATGAAATGATTAAAAAAAATTGATTTATTTTATTTTATAAGCACAATGCAACGTGCAAGCCAACAGTACTTACGTCTCTCGTGAGAACTTCAAAATGATTTTAAAAAGGACACTGAAGATCCTGGTTTGTATTAAATTTTGGTTGTAATTCTGATTGATTTGATCAGCCAGGTTTAAGTGAACCTTTGTAAATTTAAAAATTAAATGAAATAACCAAAGCATGCAGACAAACACGAACAGGTAAACTAGTGGGCAGACGCGAACCAAAACACGCACACGCACGGAATCAGAATGAGGAACACCGTGTCAGAACAATGAATGAAATTGCAAAACAAGATTTGATATTGTGGTTGTCGCAACGATTAACGATCATATGAATATATATAAAAATAAAACACTTTTGGTCATTTGAAGGGGCCAACATACCGACTCCGGGGTACGGCTGCATTCCAGGGTAGGCTGCGTGTTGCAGAGCCGCCTCTCCGTTCGGCATACCTTGGGCTGAAATGGACAGGTGAAGGCCATCTACACATAGAACAAAGTGTACACTCATAAATACACTGTCTTTACCCATGTTAAGAAATTATATCACACCGAATTAATTAATTATTATATATTAATAAAATCAACAAACACTAGGATAAAATTTATTTGCACAAAATATATAGTAGGCGCGGAAATTCACTAGTCTAGATTGTTCCCGCGCCTTTTTGATCAGGAAAAAATATAAGTGGATTTTTTTTCGTGGAAAGAAAATTAAGTAAACACACCGGGCGGACACCGACTCAAGATTACAACACCGAGAAGCGAATGAAAGAAGTAGTCTGACAGCAGAAGAGAATATATATACGTTTTGCTTGTGAAATTAGCGTGAAATAATAATATTGAGTTAAAACTTTCGTCCTGAAGTAATGCTCAGTTTGTGTTGAAATTAAAATATACCTCGATGGACGTGACACCGAACGAGAGAAATAGATAGAAAGAGAGAGATAAAGAAAGAGAAGCTGAAAAAAGATACTTACGTGCAGGGTACGTTTGTGGCATGCCATTAGTATAGACCCCAGGGTCGGTTGGGGTGGGTTGACCGTTAGGGGTTTGTGCCGCCATATTGAAGTTGGGCATGGTGGGGGAGGGAAGGCTGGGGATAGCCCCGTTCACAGGCTGACCTGTACCCGCTCCTGCATCGAAGAAGAAGAAAGACAAACATTAAATCATCGCCATAGACCCTTTAAAAGTATTTCGTCAAAAATATGTTTAAAGAGCCTATTCCACTCATCCAACTATTTTTTTTTTTTCATTTTCGTCACCTTTCTGATCATAAATATCAAAGTAACAAACACAAAATCTCAGACTGATGCTAAAATATATAACTGCGTCGCGTCTAGAACGCCAAACACGTACGCTAAACTCGGAGGAGTGTGATGTGAGCAGATCACGAATGTAAACAGCTCTGGATGCAAATTAATATTGAGTATGCGTATGGAAATGTACGCTCGAATAACCGATCTGATCGTACGATTCGGCTAAAACTCTCACAAGCTGAGCATTAAAGGTACAAACACACGGAGAAAGTTCGAGAGACAGATATATGAAAGGGAGAGATGCAAAGCGAGTTTTGTGATTTCGTCTTCGGGAAAGAGACACCGACGTGCAAAAGCCAACTGAGATTTTGTGAAAAGCAAAGCAGCTCGACAAACTTGGTTAAGATACAAATTATCAGATCTATAAATGGTAGATTTTTTTCAACTAATGCAAAAAAGGAAAATTAAATTTCTATTTACAGATTTGAATATAATGAAATTTTGAGGAGCAACACATATTTTTAGGTGAACATTGACACTAAACATTTATAAGCAGCTCTAACACATCAAGTTGTTAGCACTCGAACCTGAGGTAGGAGGCACGACAGGGTTCGCCATACCATTGAGGGCGCCATGAGGCATCTGGGATGCGAGCGCCGCCATGGGGTTTATGAAGGTACCTTGCGCAGTAGCCGCGGCCATCAGGGCTGCCTGCTGCTGCAATCCGTCGCACTGAAATTTTCCATAAAAATAATAATTCACCAGATAAAATGACAAAAAATACAGAATTATATTTTATTATTATTGTTTATTCTTCTCGGTCAATATACACAATTTTTTAAATTGGAAAATAGAGAAGAAAGGGTTAGATTCAGATCATTTAGATTTTAATTTTAAGAAACTAACCTGTGCATAAGCTCCGTAAGCGCCGAACTGGTTGAAAACGAAAGGGTTGAGGAGACTCATGTTGCCGGCCATTTGCTGCATACGTCTCAACTGGCGTTCTTTCTCAGTGTCTGCAAACTTCACCACTAGGCTCGAAGAGGCTCCCTGAAACAAAATAATTGCCCTCGATTAGCGAAATACACCAGAAACCTTGGTCACATCATGGCCATCAAGGGTGTAATTTACGGTCGTTTCAACATTGTTTCTAAGCCATTACGAGTTAGGCAGCCGGCAGGACGGCGGGGTCGTGCCGGTTGCATACCTATTTTTTATTTCTGATAATTATTCTCCTGACATGTATGGAATCCTGACAGGTGTAATTAGATTTCTCCGTCTTTGGCACGTCACCGCTTAAATTAAATTGTATGTTTTATTTTTTTCATTTTTATCACCGCTCGTCATGAAAGAAGGCCCAACCTTTTGCATTAATTAAAATTTTTCCGTCGTTGCTGCGCATATTTAGTGAAGTTGTCGTTAAATAATTTACTGCCCGGACCAAGCAAGATAAGAAGAGATAAACATTTTACGAGTCTGCACGCCGGCGGAAATATTGCCGGCAACTTTTAAGGCTTTAATTTCTCCAGCATTACAATTTAATTTATTCAGCCCGTGAGTCATGAGAGTGGCTGCTCTTTTATATGACGTGCATTTTACACCGGCGGCGTTTGCTAGCTCGCTCGCTCGAGCATTTTAATTTATAAACATGTTTTTAATTATGTTAAACTCCGCCTGCTCTCATCTTTGCGCGAGCTAGTTTTGGGCAATCTCGCATTTATTAACTTTTCCGCCTGTGCAGCCGCCAGACAGAGGAGAGGAAAGTTAATATCGCGCCAGAGATTCTCTGGGCGTCGGATTAAGAAACCGCAGGAAGAGTGTAAGACGAGGAGAAAAGGATTTGCGAGCGAATTTGATCTCTTCATTCAAGCCGCAATTTTGTTAAGAAATTAAATCAAGAGGAAATTACGGTGCGGCGCTAGAGGAGACGCTGCAGCTTAAATATTCATTAATGGCATCGCTCTTTATGAATGTACACGGCTCGTGATCAAAATACAAAGTTGAAGTCTCATTATTCAAGATTTATATTCTTTTATGAGCAAAATAATAATCTCTTTTTAAATTTTGAAATATCGATTTCCCTAATTTTCATAAATTATCTTAATGAAAATAAATAATTTAATATTTAAATAATTTTTAATAAGTTTTTTAAAATAAAATATTATTAAAAAGAAAATAGCTATCCAAGGCAGCAAAATTCTTGCTAATGGTGGTGCCGGTTTGTTCAACAATTCATAGAAATTGTTTTCAACAGTTGAATGTTAAAAGTTTGATGCAAGAAATTTGAAAAATAAATAACGATAATTAATCATGCAGTAAAAATTAAAGTAAATAAGTAATAATAATAATAATAATAAAGTAATAAAACATGAAATATATTCTATTATTAATATTAAATAACATTAAACAGACGCATTAGTGTAAAAAATTATATCTATTTAGTAAATGTATTTTAATTTTTAATGTAAAATAATGATTTAATAAATGAATAAAATAATTACTAAATTTTACGGTTTCATTAACATTATTTTAAATGATAATTTGTATTCTCAAATAAAAATAAATATAGATTATCATTAAAATTAATGTTAATTAAAGCTTAAAAATTAGTAATTATTTTATTAATTTATTAAAACATTATTTTACATCAAAAATTAAATAAATTTATTATATAGATATAATTTTATACACTATTGCAACAAGTATTTTGTAATATTTTTGCATACATGAAAATAATTTCATTAATTTTGAGAGTAAATTTTGTTTTCAATTCTTACTAAAGACAGACATATGTAATTATTCCCAAGACAGACTAATTTCCTTACAATGCGTCTAACTAGAATGCAATTGTCGTCGGGTGTGCGCGCGCCAATTGATCATCCGATTACTCAAATTAGACGAAATTAACGAGCGTGCATGTATGCCGAGTGTGCTCTGGCTGAAATTAATTGCAGAGAGAGCGGCTCCAGCAGCCTTTTGCGAGAAGAATTCGCTCTGCCGCCCGTGCGACATTAAAGGGGCGCTGACTTGTAAGAGAAAGGGCGAAGAAGAAGGTTAAGAACGGGAGTAATTGCTCCCAGAAGAAACACTCCTTACGCTAACAGTTTCTCTCTCAGCGTGTCATTATTTCGCAAAATTACGCCCGAGTACGAACGAGAACCGCGTCTGTCGGTCTTTCGCAGCGAGCGATGCTCCTTTGATCTATTGACCGCGCCGCGCGCATCACAAACCACATCAGATATTCAATTACGGCCAAAGTTGTTATTACGCCGGCCGGCCGAAGGCGGACGCCCGCTTCTTTTATGATATTTCGAGCAGTTGCCTCTCGGCGAGGCGCACAGATACGACGACGACGCTTTTGATTATCATAAAAGTTGTGTGTGTTTTGGCCGAATATTCGCTCGTGTCTCTCTCAAAGGCGAATCGGCCGCCTCGGAAAAGGAAAACATATTAAATCCAGCGCCGGAGCGAAATGATGAATTGCAGGAAACCTTTGACGAAACACGATTGAGGACTGATAAGAATTAGGGCGGAAAGAGCAAAAAGAAAAATAATGAAACTTTTTCCAAAGTGAAATAAGTTTTCAATTGCCTACCAATTGAATGTTTTCTGGTTTGCTCTTCTTTCAATAAAAGAAATAATTGATATTATCAGCAAAACCCAATTTCAATCTAAACTTATTTTTATTTATTTTAATCTGAAAAACTTCCTTTGTTTATAAGAATTTCTTTAATTGTTGTCTTATATTTATTTTCAAGAAATGCATGTGATTTAAATTTGAAATTTAAGAGTAAATTTAAAAAAAAATTAGCTATTCTTTAATCAATTTTATATAATTAATTACTTTAAATTAATCCTTTTCTGAATAAAAAAGATAAACTGTGTTTTAATTGACGCATTTTTCATTGCTTTTTTTAATTTGCAAACCTTCATTATTGTTATGTTTTCAAATTAATTGAATGGGCAATTTCCTTTTCCGAATCCGTTGCAATTGCGTCGTGGTGATAATTTTGAGCGTCGCTTTTCTGATAGGCCCCATATTGCTAGGGCCGTAAAAAGTGCAGCCAGCACATAAAGTCGCCGCCATCTGCGGAGTCGCCTGAGCTTTTTCGCTCGATTCTCGACTTGCTCTCTTTCTTTTTATTGCCGAATTCTGGTCGCGCCATATAAAATTCAAGCGCCGACTTTCGTTTTTTCCAGGTGCGACCATCTTTACGAGCGTGTATAGCCGGAGAAGTTGGTTCGCGTCTCGTCCATATCGGCGAGGAAAAAGTTTAATTTAGACTTCTTATTACTTTTTCCGCCTTTAATTAGCGCCGCCGAGCTGCTGCAGCTCGATGAGAAATTTTAAAAATGAAATTACCGCCCTCTCTCCTCGCGAGAGATGAGTAATATCGCCGGAGAGAAGAGAAAGGTGCTCCACTCCTCGGAGAGCAAACTTTCTTTTCAACAGATTGCTATATTAAAAGTTTTAATATACAAACTACACGCGGCGCCTCTTGCAAAACGAGCGGGAAAATTAGCGCGAGGATTTGTATTAGAAGAGAGAGCGAGCGCAACAGAGAAGTTTGGAGTGTGCATGATTTGTCGAGTTGATTGCGGCGCAAGATGTTGCTAACTTAATTGTCCAATTAGAGTCTCCTGATGGGGATTTCTTAACTTGAGTTTGGGACTTGTAACATTCGAGAAGAGTAAAATATGTAAACAAACGCGAGTTTTAACAATAACAATTAAAATCACAGAGTTAACAGAAACTTTGGTTTAATTATTTCTGGTTGTTTTGAAATACACCACAGCATGAGGAGAGGCAAATTGAATGTCCTAAATCTGCTTAATCTAAATTAAAAATTACTTTTGGAATATTGTACATGTGATATTTAAATATAATCCCAAGTGGTGAAGTACGAAGTAAAAATAATTTTCGGAAAATTTGCTGCTGACTTACAGGTTATTTTATATGAATTTAAAATTGTTTCAAAAGGCAAAAGCGGTGTTCTTGAAAAGCATTTTCCAAATTATGGAAATTGATTTTTTTAACAATAAATTTACGTATATTAAAAATAATTTTTAAAATAATTCAACTTGCTTATTTAATTAGAGAGTAAATAAATAAATGGTTTCATTTAAAAATTTCGCAGATTTATTTTTCATAATAATTATTTGGCAAACAAAGTTGTGCAAAAAAGTTTGGAATTCATTTGCCTCTCTGATTTTGAAACAATTCACAAGCAAGAAAGCACAATCTGCTAATTATTGTCAGTCGGGGTTGAAACTCACCGGCATAGTTTGACTACCGTGCAGGTTAGAAATAGCTGCTTGCGCTTCCTGGTGCGAGCCGAACTTGACAAAAGCACAACCTGCAACACAAAAGTGGCCAATTAGACGAGGAGGGTGAAAGGGGGACGGCGAGGGCTGGTCGAGAAAGCGGGCGAGCGAGCGGGTCGGTTTATTGAAATATGACATATAATAGACGAGGAGAGAAGAGCGGCCTCGTGCGTTATTGACAAACGAGCGAGAGAGCGAGCGAAGGACGAAGACGCTGGTCGTCATGGCAACGCAATAAGGTTGGTTCCTTCCTCGCCAGCGGATCCGTCCGCCGCCGCATGTAAGAGGCACATTACACGAGGATGCTTCAAATTTTCCTTGTGAATGAACTCTGCTGGCTCGACACGACACGACAATACACACAAGTGGTTGCTTAATAAAATTAAAGCGGTAATGTTATAGTACGCGCGACGTGTTTCCCAAAATCCCTGATTTCAGTTGGCATCACTTGCATTACGTCGCGCGTTTAATAGTGGTTTTACGTCGCGCATACAATAATGGTTTTACGTCGCGCGCTCAATACTGGTGGCGGTAAAATTTTTAAGAAAACCGATTATTCCATCGATACCTCGGCAACATGTATAGCACGCGCGACGCAATTCTTTTCCTACAATCTTAATTAAGGGGACTGCTAGGAAGAATAGGGGCCCTTGGGATGGGTTCAGAATGGGGCAAGACGACCTCCGGAGGGCCGTGCGCACCCTTATAGCAGGCGCGACGTATGTTTATAGCACGCGCGACGGGCCGTAAATCCAGTGAGGGGCAAAGCGAACTCCGGAGGGCGCTTTTCACCATCGTAAGAGGCGCGACGCATGGTTATAGTACGCGCGACGCATGCTTATAGTACGCGCGACGCACGACTAATTAATTATTATAAAAGGTGTTGCACGCGGCCGGAGTTGTGGGCACCCCACGAACCGGCAACTCGGAGGTGGGCAACCCCCAAGATTAATTTTTGCAGAAGCCGCGAGCGAGGGGTGGAGGCGCAGCGAGGTCGAGGACGTGGGGAAGGCCGTGCGGAGGGCGAGGACAAAAGGGCGGCTGTGTTCATGAGGGGGCTCCGCAGGAGCCCCCTCACGATCCCCGCCCTTTTGTCCCGCCCGGAGCCGGCCTTCACCACGTTCTCGGGCGAGCGCGCCTCCAGCCCGAAGCTCGCAAACCCACAACGGAGTTGCTTACAAAAGGAATCGTCTGCAAAAAGGGCTTAGAAAGCAAAAAGTGTGGTGCCCACAACTCCCTTTGCAAACAACACCTTTTGTGGGCAACTCCGTTGTGGGTTTGCGAGCTTCGGGCTGGAGGCGCGCTCGCCCGAGAACGTGGTGAAGGCCGGCTCCGGGCGGGACAAAAGGGCGGGGTTCGTGAGGGGGCTCCTGCGGAGCCCCCTCATGAACACAGCCGCCCTTTTGTCCTCGCCCTCCGCACGGCCTTCCCCACGTCCTCGACCTCGCTGCGCCTCCACCCCTCGCTCGCGGCTTCTGCAAAAATTAATCTTGGGGGTTGCCCACCTCCGAGTTGCCGGTTCGTGGGGTGCCCACAACTCCGGCCGCGTGCAACACCTTTTATAATAATTAATTAGTCGTGCGTCGCGCGTACTATAAGCATGCGTCGCGCGTACTATAACCATGCGTCGCGCCTCTTACGATGGTGAAAAGCGCCCTCCGGAGTTCGCTTTTTCGACCGTCGCACGTCCCATAGTGATACGTCGCGCCTGCTATAAGAGTGTGCACGGCCCTCCAGAGGTCGTCTTGCCCCATTCTGAACCCATCCCAAGGGCCCCTATTCTTCCTAGCAGTCCCCTTAGTTAAGATTGTAGGAAAAGAATTGCGTCGCGCGTGCTATACATGTTGCCGAGGTATCGATGGAATAATCGGTTTCCTTAACAATTTCACCGCCACCAGTATTGAACGCGCGACGTAAAACCATTATTGTATGCGCGACGTAAAACCAGTATAGAGCGCGCGACGTGATACTTTTACATGGGAGCATAAGTGTTGCCAACCTATGAAAAAACACGTCGCGCGTACTATAACATTACCATTAAAGCTTGCTCGGCAGTGAAAATATATATTTGCTCTCTCGAGAGACGCAGATAATATTTCTGTCCTTTCGACCATCTCGTGGGTCCAGCAGGTGGCCCGAGCGATAAGGAGCATCACAAAACAGATTCCCGGCAGAGAGAATTATTATTATTATTATTTTCCTCTCTCATCTCTTTCTCGGAGGCTCCCGCGGCGCCGGGCGCAGATTCGCCGGGATTATCTGTGCGCGCGTGTTTACTTTCAATATTGGCTCAGCCCAGAGAGGTGCCGGCTTTAAAATTTAATAACGCACGCCCGCGAGAGAAAGATGCTGGAATGCTCATTTCCGGCAAGCGTTGCCGAGAGACACGCCGAGTTTGCCAAACTTTTGCACGATCAATTACAAACGCCAGAGCTCTCGTCGGCGAGAGGAAAATCCAGTTTGCTCACCGACAAATGAGAGAGAGTGCTTGGGAAGTTAGGCTTTGCTGCAAATTCCAAAAGAATGATGATTAATTTAATATCAAAATTAAATTTTAATAAGATTGAAATCAGGCGAAGAATAATTGAAAAGATAAAGGAAAAGCAAAAGGTGGCCTGCGGACTTTCAAAACCTAGGGTTTCCAAACTAAACCAAAAAATGAATGAGGAGAATTTAATTTAAATAAACAATAATTGCAGAAATTAATGAAATAAAGGGGTCAGTCAACAGATTCATACTGTGATTTTGGTAGAAATTTCCAGGGCAATGAACCCAAAGATTTTTCTGGCAAAGCTATTGACTGACTCCTTTGTTAAATTAAATTCTGCAAATTTTGTTTCTTAAAATTGAAGTCTCCCCATTTAAATTTTAATTTTTCATGAATTCCTCCCACTTATTTAGTTTTAGTTTGGACACAACAAAACCCTATGTTTTTAAAGTTCCAGCAGACCGCAGGTCACCTTTTCATAAATATTTTTATTTTTCTTTGCAACGAGGTTTCAATTTTTCATGAGTGTAACCATTCAAATTAAAATGGGGATAATTTTAATTTAACAAACAAAAATTGCAGGAAAAATATAATCCAATTTAAATTTTATTAAATTATTAATTGGGACTATTTCTTGCTGATTTCAATCAATTAAGAGCCCTGATGAAAGAATTATTTTAGGAGATTATACTAAAGTAATTTTTTTGGAAACACCCATAATTTTAATTACTAATGACCGCCGAATATAGCTCAAGCAACTTTAAGGTAATAAAATTCATCTCGTAAGGAATGTTTCTGTCGGATATAATAAATAATTTTGGGATATGCTCCACTTTGTTAATTGCCAACAATGGAAACTCCGGCAAAAGCCTTTGCCTGAAAGGACCGTTTTGCTTCTACATAAACCGCCATTAAAGCCCATCACCATGACAAACCGCGCAACTTTCGAGTACAAACCGGTGCCGGGGTGTAATAATAATTATTTACACGCGCGCAGAAAGCCTTGGGACGTTTTTTACGAGAATCTGCGCCCCGTGTGCTGTTGTTGTTGTTAATAGAAGTTTGCCTATAAAATTGGGCCGCGCGCTTTTCGCGAGCGCACCTGGGGTCCGTGTTGTGTCCTCTCGGTTGTGCCGGAGAAATATATATTTCTATACATATAAACGCAAGGGGGAGATAAGGGAGCGCCGGAGCTTTTTCGGCTCAAACCACAGAGCGTCTTAGCAGAACAATTACTGGCCCGTAAGCCCGTCGGCCGCCGCTCGGCAGCCCCACATCAATTACGGGGCGCACGTAAGCCAAACGAGCAGCCAGAAGAAGAAGAAGAAGCGGCGGCTGAGTTATTGCGGCGAATTAATTCATTTCAGCGGCTCTCTCGCGAGCAAGGAATGCCGTGTACACCGAGGCTCAAATTGACTCGGGGGCCATTTTTCAAACACGAGAGAATTTTCTTCTCTTGTGTGTGTTAATAAAAAGCGGCGGGATTAAAAGGATTGCAGCGGAGTAGTTTCGCGAGAACGGACCCGACCAGAGAAGAAGAAGAAGTTTGTTTGTAGCTGGGGGAGGAGAAACCCGACTCGAGCGAGTCGCTGCAGCGCTATTTGTAATCCAAAACTTTGCCAAGGAAAGCACATATTGAAAGTGCGGGAAATTTATGGCCCGTTGACGGAGAAAAAGAGGCCAAATAATCGACGGACGCGCGGAAATTTCGTTTAGAGTGCCGCCGACGAGAAATGAGCTTGGTAACGAAGAGTGAGCTGCTTCGAAATTGAGTTTTTCCACCGAAGAAATTGAGTCGAGGAAAAAGAAAAATTGGGTCAGACTGCATTCGTGAAGAATCGGGAGATTTCTTATTTACCAAAATTCAACTGACGTCAATGTTGAACAAGTTCCTATAGTTGAAAAATGTGTAAAAAGTATGAAATTTAGGCATTTTATTTCACAAAATTCTTCATTTTTGATTTAATTCCAATTTGTGTTCATAATACAATAAATTTAAATTTAATTTTTATAATAAATAAAATTATTTGATGATCATGGAAGTGAAGAACTCGGGCTTTTTCTTATTTTTAAAAATTTGTCTATTTTCAAAAGCCATTTGTTTTGGAACAAAAACAGGAAAAAGCCCGAGTTCTTCACTTCGATAAAAATATCAACCGAGGCTCACTGCAGTGGATGGGGTCTTTTTGATCTCGGAAGTTTCGGCAAAGTTCTTGCCGTTTTGTCCAAAAATTCATTTTTTTTTCTCAAATAAATTATTTAAAAAAAAATTGATTGTAACAATTTGGACAAATAAACAGCTATAGTAATATGAATTTTATATTTTATGCAACAAAAATTAAGAAAAGAATTTATTCTGATATTGATTTTCATACTACATGTAATTTTTTGACAAAAATATTTTATTTCTTGTTTTTCCCCCATCAATTAAATTTACATTCAAATTGCCCCGCGATGCGGAAAGTGTGTTGCTTGCTCTCTCTTTCGATTTGTGTTGCGTACTCGAAAGGCCGCGCAGGCCAGCGTTCGCCGATGTAAATGCGAGCGTTCATTTGGCTACATCGCGTAATCCCCCTTTCTTTATTAAACCGCTGCTATCCCGGCCGGGCGTGTTTATCTTTGCTCTCTCTGCCTTAATTACTGCTGGCCTCTCTCTCTCCCTACACGAACGACGAACGAATCTCCCCTAATCCTCCCTATATTACGATCCACACGTTAAACAATATGCGCCGCCGCCGCCGGCTTGCGAGCCGTGATTCGAATCGACGAGCAGGAGCGCGCCGGCCTGCATCAGCGTCACTCCGGGAAATTTCATTTCGCCCTAATCATTTTAAGTGGCTTCGTCAAGATAATGGTCCACCCCAAAAACTTCCGCGGAAATCAAATCCAAATCATCCCAGAAAATTTAGCCGGATTTAATTAAATTTACCTTCTCCTTTGTAATTAAATATCCGGAGGAAATTTTTTTTTCAAATTGATTATCTTTTCTTCGTGTCGAGCAATCAGCAAATTTCTTCTGCTCATTCGTAATCAAATTAATTTGCTCCCTCTGTTCATCCGAGTCCATTTAGACGCCGGGAAAAAGTTTGCACTGGGCGTTTAAAATCAAATTAGAATTAACACAACAGCCAAGATTAAAAAAAAGCAGCAGTCGACTGTTCTCTTTCTCTGCGCGCATTCAATTAGCGAGCGTTAATTATTTTCTCTCGTTAAACACTCGTTAATACGCTCGCGTCTTTTGCACGACTTTCCGTCCGCGAGGCCCGAAACTTTTTCTTCCCCGCAAGACAAAGAAGAGGGAAATAAAAGGGATCAGCTGGGAGTTGGCACTGCATCATTTGCATTTGAATGGGCGGGGAAATGTGTAAGCACGCGATTAGCAATTTAGATGCAATTTTCCGCACCGCAATTCCGCAACTTAATGAATGGACGAGGAAGTCTTAAAAACCACACTAGCGCCACTATAGCGAGAAAAATTAATATTATTTCTAAGTCGGAATTTATTTAAAGACAAAAAAATGAAAAAATGAAAATAAAATATGAAAAAAGATGCACAAATAAAATAAAATATAAATTAATAAATTGTTATTTTAAAATTCATGTTAAATATTTTAATATTCCATCTTAGAAATAATATTAATTTATCTCACTAGTGGCGCTAGTGTCGTTTTTTAAGTTACTTCCTCGTCCATTCATCAAGTCGCGCAATTGCGGTGCGGAAAATTGCATCTAAATTGCTAATTGAAACTTTTTTAAGTTGAAATTATTTAGTTTTAGCAACAATTTAAGGTTGATCTTTTGTCAGAGCACTCGGCCAGTAGAGCTTATTTTTCAATATACAAACATTTTGCATAAATATCTATCAATAAAATGACAGAAAATATTTTATTTGTAAAATTATAGACGATTCTCAAATTTAAATTTAGATAAGTGTTGAGGATTTATTTTTCAATATTTCCGATTGCTTTGATTTTATTTGTTCAGCAAAAATAATTCAAATTTCTGAATTTTCACCTTTGTGGAATTTAGAAAAAAAAAATGTGATCCATGATGAATTTTGCAATCAAAACTCAATTAAGCGGCATTTCGGTCGAGACCGCAGCAAGCGAGTTGTGGTTCGGCTTGCATGCGCACTCTCCACCGCCGCCGGTTTAATATTCGAGGGGAAATTAGTTATGCATGCGGCGGCCAAATTCAATTGCCAATCACGACGGCATTCTCTCTTCACCGTGCGGATGTACGTTCAGCTCCGTCGGTGTATGTGCGTTCTATGTATGTGTATATTCATTTTGCCCGCGGCGGCCTTGTTATTATTATTACAAAGTGCAGCGCTGCGGGATTGCATACGTGCGGTTTAATAACGCCGGCGTGGCACGGATGCGAAATTTACATAATAATCACCGAATCAAAATGATCGGCGTGAATGGAGAGTTTCTCATCGCGTTCGTTTCCACCTGAATTCGCGGGAATAATTGCGACCCGGGACAAAGACCGTATTTTTTTTTTATACACACGTATTTTTTTCCTTTTTCCAAATAATCGGCTTATTTCGAATTGGGCCCGAGGGGATTTATTTTATTTTTTTATTTCTTCTTTGTGCGCTAAGAAGATTTCAGGTGGGAGGCCACAACAGGTGCGCGGCACATCAAAGAGCAGGTCACGCGAGAATAATGTGTATGTTTTCTGCCGAGCAACATAATGCCGGAGAGTTCATTCGTGCCTGATTCAATTCCGCCGCTCAGTCGAGTGCAGTCGCCTGGCAAAATTAAATACGCACGCTGGCGAAAACTTTTTCATTAAGCTGGCTGTGGGGTTTTTATGGTGGGTTGGCAAAATTTGAAAACGACGAGGCTGGTTATTTTTCAAAAGACCGCGAGTTGAAAGCGTTTTTCATCATCAATAATTTTATTGCTGCATGTCTACTTGTTGCTTTTGATCAAAAGCGGATTATTGGCGAAACTCATGAATGATTTGAATAAATATCTACGATTATTAATTCTTTTTTAATAAAAATAATAGAACCTTATCCTTAACCCTTTCCGTTAAAACAACAATTATTCTCATTGTCAATTTTAAATCATTTTTAAACAAAAATATTTATTGATTTTTACAATTTTTAAAATTATCTTTCTCTTCTTTTATTATTATTGTAGTTTATTTGTCAAAATTGTTACATTCAATTGTTGAAAACAATTTATTTGAAAAGAAAGAAATTTTCAGACAAAACGGCACAACCAACAGTAAAAGAAAATGGCTAAAACTTCCGAGATCAAAAAGACCGCATGTGCCGCAGTGACTTGGTTTTTGCTCCAATTGTTATTATCACTAATATTTTTGTCCTGTTATATCTCATTTTTAAGATTCAAATTGATAATTTTTTAGAGTATTTATGATTTATTTAAGCAGTAATTACCTAATAAAAATGAAACTTTGCAACTAATGAAAATGAACGTTTCATTTCAGCAGACAAATTTTGCATTGTGAGTGAAATAATTAATCTTAATCTATGATTTCAATTCAAATGAGCCATCAAATTGTTTTCATTGATCATTAAAAACTATTCAAATGTTTTTTTTGATAATGTTTTTAACTGCTTTTTAATTCTGAAAGCTCGCATGGTTGAAAGATTATAAATAAATTCTAAATATCTGTTTTATCTTAATTTTAATTAAAAAAAAAATAACTGCTGCATGATGGTGAAAGTCTGTTTAAATGAATTAAGAAGTAATAAAATCCGCTTTAGCTGAAAATGGCAAAAAAATGATCAACAGATTCGCGAGGCCAACTTGGCACTTTCGCAAATGGGAAAAGCATCGCGCCGGCAGCAATTGGCTGTTTGTTCTGCTCTGATGGAGCGGGTTGCAGCAGCTGTTTTTGCGTTTTCGCGAGTTGGCAGCGGCCGTAATTAGCCGGCCGTGTGCATGCAGGGCGCGCAGATGAGCCGAGCAGAGAGTAATAAATTATTAGACTCTCGGTTCTCTAATTCGGACGAGCGCAGAGAAGGGTCGTAATTCATTTAAACAGTGATGAGTCTTTGATTAATGTATCTCTCGCTCCGTATAATATTATATAACTCATGCACACGGGACGGGCGAGAGCTTCTTCTTTTCATTAGGCATTGTTTCTCTCTCTCGCTCGGCAGCCGGCGGCTATTTATCATCAAATTCGTATTAAGATTAAGACCGACCATCGCAACTTGCGCCATAAATCACGAGGGTGCACTGATTGGCAAGCGGCGGTGCAGGAGAGGAGGTGCTTGATTTATTTATTATTCACCTCGCAACGCGGTCGGTGGATATTTTTAATGGCGAAACGGCGTCGACCTACTTGCCAAGTTAAGAGAAAATCGGCCGAGAAATTAAAATTTTAATGAACGCAGGCGAGTGCTCGAGTCTTTGCCGTCTCAAAGTGGTGATTATTTCCATTTGCGCGGCCGCAAACTAGAATTTTGTGCGGAAAAGGGTGCAGAGGAAAAAAAAACACGCCGAGTTTGGTATTAAAATAAGTGGAGCAGTATTTTCCACCCGATGCGTTAACGAAGAAAAAAATGTGAGGGAAACTCAACTGACTGAATCTTTTGTAATTTGCACATGGATAACATTTCAAGTATAATTTCGAGTGTTTGAATAATAAATGAAAAACTGGGTCACGTAACTCTTGCGCATTAAAATATTGTACCGGAAAAATGACCAAATTTATAAATTTTACGATATAAAAAATGCATTGCAAAATAAAATTTTGGTCTATTTTATTTTTACGTAGAATATAATTATAAATCTAGAAGTTTTGCATACAAGGTAACTATTGAAGTTAAAATAAATTGTTTTATTTAATTTAAAAAATAAAATCACAACAACGAGGCTCAGAGCCCTGATCTGGCCCTGATGGGGTCTTCTTGATCTGGAAAATTTTAGCAAAATTCTTGCTAGTGGTGCCGTTTTGTCAAAAAATTCCTTACTTTTAAAATAAATTGTCGTCAACAAGTTAATTTAAACAATGTGATGTAATAATTTGGACAAAGAAATATAATAATCAAAAATCATCAAGTCTGCGGAGATGTGCGACACGAGATCAGTTGCAGATTTGAATTTGCCACCACTCAAATCTTGAACCTGCGACCTTTCGTTTTACTGAACAGAAAATCGTCTCAAATTTAACAAAAAAAGGTATTCATCAATGATAAATTTCTTTGCAGTTTCCAAATTTGTGTTTTAGATTGAACATCAGTTCTCGAATCAGGGAAATTTGAGTTATTTTTCAGAAACATTTCCCATTCGATGTAGGCAAATAAGCCTGGTTCTTTGACCTCTGCTCGCTTTCTAGAAGGAGATGATAAAACAAAAGGAGGAAACACACATGGCACAGTCACTCTCTCTCTCACCTTTGCTAGCTCCGTCGGGTCCCCTGAGAATCGTGCACTCTTCTATTGTTCCGAATGGCGTGAAAAGCTGTCGAACATCCTCTTCAGTCTGTTGCTTACTTAGCATACCCACGAAAAGCTTGCGTTCTTCTGTCAAAGCAAAAAGACAACCATTAGAGGCGGACTTCGTGTGTGCGGGTGGACGAGAGAGCAAGAGTACGAGAGGAGGTGATGAATGAACGGTCGGACGGCGACTGTGCATTTACACGAGACGAGTGCGTTGCAACCCCCCGGCGCAGCAGCATAGCGATTACTTATTTACGGCGACGCTGTAATTGAAAATTTCATGACCCAACAGGTGTCGCATTAAATTTTTAGCCGCTAATCATTCTCACGGGGCTAATTAAACTCACACACGGCGGGGATGATCAATATTTCATGTGTGCAACGCACTCGCGTATGCATATGCCCCGGTCGCTCGCCAAATATCATCAACACTAATGCCGATAGTGATACGTACGCCGCTGGATTCGTTCGTTCTGCGACTGTCGCGTAATTAATGCGCTCGTGATTTATTCATTTATGGCGGTGGAATTGATGACGACGCCCGCGGGAATTAATTGGAAATTAAATCACGAGTCGCGAGAACGAGCAAATCCATCGAGTCGCGCGCGCAGTTGAAGGATGAAATTGCACGGTAAAGTTTTTTTTCCTGCTATCTAGTGGTCACGACAGAGATATAGAAAATTCTAGTAATATCGAGCCACACTCATCCTTGATTGCTTTTACAACTCCCTTGGAACTAATCGGAAGCTGAAGTTCTTATTTTGTAAGACAAGTATAAATTGATTGAATTTGAATTGAAATGTACTGGAAAATATTGGTCCGTTAAAATGTGAAATGATTGAATTCTGTGGAAATCATCAAAATTTTCCAGAAACAAAATCTATTTCTTTGAAAATTAGCCTAAATTAAACATATGGCTACCTTGAAATTGAAATTAGTATTTATTTATCAATTTTCACTGAAATCTGATTGTGAAATAAAAAATAATATCAAGTTTAGTGTGGCTCGACGCGGGTGACATCTGAACTAAAAATTTGATGCAGCACGACATACACAAAACTATCCTTCATAAAGACACTTACAATGAAATTTTCCTCTCTTTTATGCCAAAGTTACTGTTAATATGTATAATTTTTTTTTCATTTTATTACATCATCTCAGCAGCACGCATACAAACATCGCACAACGACAAACATGACATACACATTTAATTATATGGAAAAAATAGCATGTATTATGTAATTTAATTTATATATCATAGTAGGGTGGTACGAGACACACACTTATAGTGAGGATGTATAAAATTACGTACGACAACAGCAATATAATATGAGATAATAATTCCATTGTATATAATAAAACATTGTATGCTGTAAAAGATGGTTAAAAAAATAATGTCCTTATAAATTAAGACAAAAATGCGTGTATATAAAAACGTGAGAGTCGCAATGGAGGGTATGAAAAAATAATTGAGTTTTATATACTGCGTCGAGCTAGAGGCGTCGATTGGTGGTGGATGGATATATGAACACCATTGCGAAAGGTGTTTCGTTTTTATTACTTTTATTTATAACTAGCAATGTGGTGGTGGTGGTGGTTGTGGTGTTTGGTAGTGAATTCGTTAAAAAAACAAAGAAATAAAGCATAAATCTAACGTTTGGAATAATAATAATAATGACCTCTACTCTATAAGGAGTCACGTGGAAAAATAATAAAAGTAAAAAATATATACGCCCATTGAAAACAACGTCAACGTGAAAACGATCGAGAGACTCACCTTTTTGGGGTTTAGACTGTCGGCGGCACGACGAGAGGAAAAATCGCAGCGCGTAAATTTTCATTTTTTCTACGTCGAAAGGCTTCGAAAAGGCATCGGAGGGAGATCATTTTTACTTAACATGACACATTTTACGTTCCGCCTTTTTTTTTTATATACGCGCGCGAGCGACCATAAAAGTCGACGCGTAAATAATATCGGCGCAATTTTCTGCATGTGACACCACGGCTGCTTTTTCCTCTGCGTCGCGCCGCTCGGAAAAGGGACGGGAAGAAGGTGCGTGTGTGAGAGATAAAGAGAGAGAGAAAGATCTATAGATGGAAATACAACGTACATAACGAAACGAGAAAGATATTGACACAACAGAGTTACGAGGAAATCATAAAAAATCTGGCGAGCTCAAAATAAAATATGTGTAATTTGAGGAAGCGTTAAACGTGTGACAATGAGAAAAATTGATAATATATTTAATTAAGGAAAAAAGAACAAAGTCAAAAAGGTGGTTGCTGCGATCGAAAAGGGGGGCGCTTTACCTGTTCACCACACATGGCGGGTGGGTGGGCGCGCTACTTCCAAACTCGCAGAAGTCAAGAAGTAGTTCGGGCGGTGCCTGAGTGAGTGAGAGCGAGTGCCTCTTACAACGGCTGATCGTCTGCAAGAAATACCCAAACAAAACCAAAATTTCTCTAACTCTTTCAAGACCAAGTCACAACGACGAGGAGAAACATGGGGGATTGTATTTTTTTTTTCATCTATTCTAAGTATTTTGGATTTGCGAAGAGAAACACGCAATTTTTGATGGAAATAAAAATTGAAAATATATATTCGTGCTGTCATCGTCTGAAGCCGCACAAAGTCGTACCAAAAGGACACACAACCGCACACACAGACAAACAAAACCTTCTCGTATATCAATCACACTCACAGATTCTTAATTTAATTTCAGAAATTAATTTTCATCGATCGAGAGATGCAAAGTTTCCTCTTTAAACTTTATGCCCCGTATACTTAATTAGCCTTCGGGATAATTAAGTGAAACGTTTTACTCGCGTGGTTTCGTCTCCCGTATATAAAACGAGATGCCCGACCGCCCCATAACCTTGCCATCAAAGTTGGCCCGCCGGCGGCGGCTCTGCGTAAAATTTTATCTGCCGACATACGAGCCTCCAATTATTATCCAGGTGCACCACCGGAGCGGCGCAAAATTGCCGAGCTCACGATCTAATAAAAATTTACGCAAGTTTCGCAACTCGATCCGTTTTGAATGAGAGAGACAGAGACGTCGTTTCCGATTAGTTTGATTAGTTAATCATAAAGAAGAATTAAATCGATTAATTCAGTAAAAAAAATAGGTCAAAAAGTTTTAGTTGGTAGCTCTGCATTGTGGTGGGGATTGAGAACATTTGTTTGGTTCATTAATCCATTAACTTTAATTATTTCTAAAATATATTTATTTTGGTAAAGAGTGGCAAAATTAATCCTTCTGAATTATAGTTTAAAAAAATGGTGTTTAGTTTATTTTGATTCTTTGCTTGTTTTTTTAGGTCCTTATAAAAAACAAGTTTATTTCAAATCATGAAATTTGAAGCAACTCTATGGAAAAAAACGAGAAGTGCCTTCGCTTGTAATTCTAGGAGGTCAACACGGATTTCAATTTCGCTGCTTGAGAAATCTTGTTCTAAAGACCGTTCTCTTCAAGAGCAACACCAACTTTCGACCCTCGCCTCCGATGGGAAAATGTGCTCGCTGCCCCTGTTCCGCCATCGAATGCAAACGAGTGGCTCGTCGGTGCGTGATTCATGGCTCCATATCGGTCGGAATATATTGTAACTGCAAATATTTGTATCAAAGAGAGCCAGCAGCCGACCGTCGTCGTCGGTCCATCCATACATCATCCGAGGGATAAAAAGCAGCGGCGGAGGGATGTGATGTGGACGCACACGTAACGAGGTTTAATCCCCCGAAGGGTACGCGCGGCTAACGAGTTTGTAAATTGAGATGCCGCCGCACCGTTGTTGCCGCCGCCGATTCCTGCTGCCGCGCAGATAGTAATTATTATTATCATCGTCGGTAGAATGTGAATTTGCACAGATGAGTGTGGGAATTAAATGATTATTTGCGCAGTGGCCAACGCTGACCCGGACGCTCAAACTTTTAATCCTAACATGGGACACGCAAATCCACGCATGTGGGAATTTCCGCCAAATCTTATTTGACCGTTGGTTTTATACATTCTACGGGGAATGCTTGAATTATTCAACATGGAATATTGGATTAATTGCATATCAAGATTGCAAAAAAATTTATAATACAGTATTTATTTGTAAATTATGTAATTATTTTATTCTCCTCTGTTTAATTTCCTACTATTTAACTAAACTTAAGAATAATTTTAAAAAGGAAAATAATAATTTCAAGATATTTTTTATAATTATTTATATCAGTTTTATAAAAATAAATAATAAATCAGGTTTTCCTCGCATCTACAGAGTTAAAAGTTTACCTCGAAAAGGCGTCACAGTGCCGGGAAATAATTAGCATTCCGCGTTGAAAGAATTCATAATTCACTTTTACGGGACGGCGATCTTTCTCTTTCTCTCTCTCTCTCAGCTTTTCTCTATTTCCTTTTCATCGTTTTGCACACTCTCGTCGGTTGCGGGGGCGGATTATGTTCATGAGCTGCGGTGTGTCATCCGCACCTGCTGACGCCCGAATTTCGCCGGCACTCCTCGCACACAAGACAATGCTGCGCGAATTCGCACAAAGGGCGCCGGTTAATAAATAAACAAATTAGCGCCCTTTCAAGCGTGAACCGTCTCTGCTTATTGCGCGTCGCTGCTGTGAATGAATAATTAAGCGCGGATTTAAAACCAATCTTGGCGGCGTCACGTTCATTCCGGACGAAATCAAATTAAGCGCGGCAGTGCCTCCGATTGGCAGGATTGAGATTTATCGAAGGCAAAGCTAGGAAGGATTGTGCCACAAATAAAAAGAAGGATTACGATTAAACAAAATAATTAGCGGCAATGCCCAGTGTGAATAATAATTAATTCACAAATTTAAAAATCTAGAGAATTTGCGAAATTTTGGGTACAATATTATGAATATGGTCAAATAATTTGTGATCAATTTCATAAATATTCCTCAAAGCACTTTTATTACTCTATTATTTTAATTTTAAGACTTAAAGTAATTGGTTTTTATCTTTTTTAGACCTACTTGATTGCAAATGCAAATCGTATTTATTTTTAAGAAAAAAAAACCGGTCTTTTTAAAATTCAGAGTTTACTCTTTTCCGATGCAGGAGGAATCTTAATTTAAAATCAATAGTGAAACTTTACTAATCAAATATTAATTTAACCCAGTTAAAACCCAAAGCACCGACGTTTCAATTTAATTTTATCCTTCTTGGAACTTTCAAGTGGAATACAAAATTAATCTCTCGAGTGGAATCACAACTTTTCAGTCTAGCTTTGCACTCGAATCTAATTCCCTGCTCTCTCCCCGCCACGATATTTCTCCGACCGCTTCTTCGCTTATTAGATTTCAATCTTGCCGCCACTTGATTATTAATTAACCCACTCGCGGCAAGTTTGCCGCCTGCTGGTTGCCGGCAACTTCACTCCGAACTTTGCACTTTTCCCTTTGCACTTCGATCAAAGGCGGCTCAGCTTTTTGTCAACACCGCGCCCCATAATATCCGGCGTGCAAATCCTCCGCGGCGCTTTTGCATACACATCTCTTTCTCTTAACACGCCAAAATTAATTAACTCTTTGTAAAGAGAATCGAAACACACGTTCACAAACACACTGGCAGGTTCGAAGGCGCCTCTCGCGCAAACAAAAGAGCCGGGAATCGATAAGGCGACGGACGGACGGGTAAATAATAATTTACTTTTTCCTCCCGCCGCGTCAGCTTTTCTTCTACTCCTGCCTGCGCCCTATTTTGGAAAAAAAGTATAAGAAAAGAAGAAGAAGAAGTCTCGACGGATCTTTATTGCAGCTCTCCGGTCAACTTAAATTGGAAAGAAAACTTTTCAGTCAGCGCCTTTTTATCTATATCGCCGGCCGTAATTTTTATTAAAACACGCGCGAGGGGGAGACAAGAGAGAAAAATAAAATTGCAGCTGACGAAGAATTTGTTATTTTCCTTGCCTGAGCGTTTAATTGTTTCCGCTGCAGCGAGAATTCCGCAGATTCCCGTCGCGTTAGAATTCCAATTCCTCAGCGCCGGGGCAGAGGCAAATTATCGTTATTATTATTGCAGCCGCGCCGGCGGGAAAGAGAGAGAGAGAGAAAGGCGGAACTTTGACCCGCCGTGTAATTGGCTTGAAGATTATCAGCCAAGAAAGTTGGGCGAGAAGAGAAAGATGAAAAAGGATTTTCTCCGCGGGGACTTGAGCGAGCGCGAAGCAGCAAGAGAGGGAATATAAGTTTCATACAATTTCCAATCTATTTCTATCAAAGTCGAGCCAGGGATTAAGCGCGACGTGATCGCCCCCTGAAATATGCTGCTCGCCGAGAAAGAGAGCGAGCGGTGTTTTGCTTACGACGGAATTCGCCTCGGGCCGGGAAAATCTGATGTGAAAAATGAATCGCTGCAGCACCAAGTTTGGAAAGAGAGGAGGAGGAGAAAGAGTTGATTTGATTCGTGGCTGAAGTGCTGAGCTTTCAACTTGGTGTTTGATTTGTATTGTCTCAAAAAATGCTTCACGCATTATTTAAAATGAATATTATGTAATTTTTTCTATAATAATTTCTCTTTTTTATTTTTTATTATAAAGAAACGATGGGTGAGTCCGAATACCAAAGAAAGCGATTCTCGAAATGATTCCCGAAAAACGAATCTTAATAAAAGATTCTCGCGCAAGGATTCACCAAGGATTCTGACTTTAAAATTTAATTAAAGAATAGTTCCTGGAGCATCCTTGCGCGAGAATCTTCTCCAGAATCGTTTCTCAATAATCTTTTCTTGAGAATCATTTCGAGAATCGGTTCTCTGATTTTCGGACCCACCCGATGTATTTAAATCATTTAAAAGTAATTTGAAAAAAGAATAGAATTGCAAATGACATTCTTTAACTTTCCTTTAACGTTTCATTTGAGAAAGTAATCATTCGATTCCAGCATTACTTTATAAAATCTCAAGAACGTGTCTTGTCTCGCGTAGATCAAACCGGAGGAGGGCCTCCTTTTAATCAGAGTGCTTTGCTTATCCGGCCATTGTGTCGGGTCACGTAAGGCGGCCCGGCTCTTAACTGTTGCTAATAATGGAGCCTGGTAATCTGGCCCCGAAATGGCTCTCGCTGCTTAAATACCACGTACGCCACCGCCGACCGACAATAAAGCAACGAACATGTGTGTGTGCGGCGTCGGTCATTGTCCAAATGAAACGAGTCTACGAGCTAGACACGAGCAGCCCTTTTAAGTCCAATTACACTTTAAAGCCTCAATCGGACAGTCTGGCTCTCCGAAAATCGACCCGATCCATTTGCATTCGGAGTTTATCTCGTTGCAAGAAAGAGGAGTTTCGCTCTTCAACGCGGCACGTTTCGGGGGTGGTCGGGAGGGAAAACGAGAGGTCAGGGGTTATTTCGGCTACGTGATGTCATTAATGCTGGCTAATAACAAACGCCGCCGGACGCCGCGCAAACGTGACTCTTGGCGTCATGTGACACCAGCAAGATGTGGTTGGCGAATAATAAATTTTTGATGACGAGCGGAAGGAAATCCGAGCAGATTCAGAAATAATATATCCGAGTGCTAAATTTGGAAAGTTATATTTTCCTCGTGACATTCAATATTCACCTAAAAGCTTGCGACGTAAAAACAGTTAAAAAAAAAAACGGAAAAAGTACATAAATAAAACTAAATTCAATTTTAATTGATTGAAAATCTAAACGATTAAATTGTAAAAAGAAAATTACGACCGTGAAAGTAGTAAAATGCCAAATATACATATTGAATTCGTATTTTTTATTTGATACATTTCGTAAATCAATTAAAGAAGGCTCACTGCTGAGAATGGGGTCTTTTTGATTTGGAAGTCTTAGCAAAATTTCTTCTATTGGTGGTTTGTCCAAATATTCCCTCTTTTTAAAATAAATTGTTATCAAAAATTGAATGTTAACAATGTGATGTTACCATTGGACAATAGCAATAGTGATAAATTATTAAATATAAAATTTAAATAAAAATAATCAACCCGCAAAAATATGGATATGCAACCTGCTCGTCCCTGATGTAGAGCAGGTTGCATACCCGCGTAACGAAAAATTATTTTTGGCAACATAATTAAATTTAATTAAACGCGATTGAGGTGAAACTCATAAACCAAAGGCAATTTTGGTCAACATCAGCCCCGAATTTGTGTTTCTGCCCCTGGTAATTATGCAGCGGAACGCTTTCGGCTTTTGCGGAGGATCGTGCGGCCGCGTGTTTGTGGCGTCCGTTAGCTCTCTTTTTGCTTCTCCGCCCTGCTAGTTTTGCGCGTTAATGACTAAATATCGCCCGCAGTAAATTCAGCCGCGAGCAAGGTGCACGCGGCGGTAAATTCGAACACGGTAAACATTTTTCCTCGTTATCCCCGCCGGGGGTGTGTACATTACGGCGGCTAAAGTGGTTCGCGCGCGCGCCCACTGCCATAAACCACATTAAAAACAGCGGAAAAGTGCTCGCCGGCAACAATCGAGCAACTTTGTTTTTCTCATCTCCCCTCCCCGCAGATGAGCCGCTCGAATATATTGAAAGGTAAAGTTGGTTATTTATGGAGAATGCGAGATTTATCCCGCGCCCCAATCACAAGAATAGAAAAGTTTCGCCGTAAATTACGGCCTCGTTCTTAATAAAAGTAAATTATCTGCGAATTCCGCCCTCCGAATTGAATCCCAAGTCGATTTTTATTGAAATGTGTCTGTCGCGCTTATCGGCAGCGCCGCAGCCCCGAGTTTGTTTGTTATTTTTATATATTATATTGCTTTTTTTATTCAGCTCTCATCCATCATCATTCACACTCACCTCACTTATTTGTCACCACGTGTCGAATGAAAACGAAATAAATGTAAATCAAAATGCAATTTCATTTAAATATATATATCGTGTTCATTTGGAACTCGGCTGTCAAAAAGTAAAATTTATGTCTCGCGCTGGGAATTAACGAACTCACCTCCGCGGTTTTCACTCTCTGCAGGTTTGACTTGAATAGGACGGTTCATCTGCAACACAAGAACGTTCCAATTAAAATTTATTTCGGCGAAAAGCTTTTAGCCGCTCACATTTCAAATGAGCTTTCAGCCAATAAACAAACGGCATTTTAAATCACAGCACTACTTTCAATTAACCGCATCACCGATCAAAGAACGCAATTCGCGAAATTCCAGCAAAAGGCTTTTACCGAAAAATAAACAGAAACTGGTTCCTTTTCTCGAAATAAATATATAAATGAATTTATCTTGTGGAATTAGCGGGCAACGCCCTGGCAGCGTCTTCTCCGCCGCTCCGTCAGTGTCACCGAGCGAAATTCTCTCATTTCACCTCGGCCAGCTGCCGCCTCGCGTCGGCTTGACATCATTATAAAAAGAGAGACACACGGCTCGGGGAAAAAATACTACATAAGCGGGGCAGCAGGAACACGACCCGGCGGACAACTAATTTCACAGCGCGCGCAATTAAATCCAAATCCTTTTTATTTCCATCTGTCTTGCCAGCGAGCGAGCGGACACGTGTGCACTGTGACAGCTACAACGCCACGCCACTCATTTTCCTTCCGTGTTTCTGGCGCGTAATTTAATTTTGAGTCTGCTAATCCTGCAGGAGCGGAGGATTTGTTTCACAAAAAGTTGCAAGGCCACCAATAAATGTGAAAAATGTCATATTTGAAACGAAAACTTGCTAAAAGAGGAGATCAATATAATTCTAACTTTTGTTCTAAATAACTTTTTCATATTTAATATTTTATTATAAAAAGTACGGAGTAAAGTCATTAATTGGATTCAAAGCTCAACAAAATTTCTGTCAAGCAAAATCATTGATATAAAAAATTTCAATTTATTTTTCAAACCGTATAATGGAAGCAAAAAATTAAATTACTATCTAAATTTGTAAAGAACGTAACACTTATATATTATTTTACTAATACAATATTAAAATATCATATTACTTCTTAATTTCTTAATTTTATAAATTTAATTTATTTTCATACATTTTAATGTTAAAAAATAAATTGTATTCTATGTATTTTAATAAAATATATAGAAAATATAGATTATGCTTATTTAATTTCAAGCATAACATTTTGAAACTAATAAATGATTAGTATTTTATTTTATAAAGTTCCAACGCGTTCAGTACTTGATACGCTAATCACAATTAATTACACGTCACAGATTCTCTTCTCCTCGATTAATTAATTATTATTAAAAAATTTCTCTGAAGTGTAAACAAAAAACAAAATCTACCAAAACGTGTTTAAAAAGAGGAGATAAATATTTAATTTTCATTTTAGTTCTAAATGTTATCTTTTATATTTAAATTAATTAAACAAGAGTCATCAATGATCAATTCAAAGCTTAACAAATTTCTGTCAAGCAGAAACAAGAACTAAATTTTTTTAAACCTTAATTAAACAACAAAAAGACTTTGAAAGTAAAAAAATAATAATTAAACTGACGATCTGAGTTTTTACTTTTGGAAAATTCGATCATTTAGTTGAAATTTGACATCAATGGAGGAAAAAAAATCGATTTCAATTCCATTAGGAGCTTTTTCTAGCTCACCAATAGTTCTCTTTCTATCTTTGATTAAAAGCGGATTTCAGCCCTTGTGTGTGTGCGCCGCGCGTGTTTGATACTGGAGCTCTCGCTCTCTCGAAGCTGTTGAGGGGATGAAGCTCGTGCTTTTTACTTAACAATAGTTCGGGGAGGAAACAAAGCTCGGTGGCGCGAGGCAGCAGGGAGAGCCCGAAAAAGTTTTGCTATTGTTACTTCTCTCTCTCTCTCTCTCTCTCTCTCTCTCTCTCTCTCTCTCTCGCGAGCGCTACTTCTTCTTATTGACGTTTCCCCCTGCGTGCGATGCCACCACTCGCATGTAGGGCAGCATTTGTTGCAGCCGAGTCAGACGGCGTGAAATAGTGACTAGTTTCGTATGCAGAACGTCAGAAACATTGGATGCGCTTTTTTCCACTCGCGCGAGAGAGAGAGAGATTGATCACCTTGAACATGTTGCGCTGAAATGAGAGAAAAAGGGGATTTTTCACGCTCTCTCTGCAAAACTTCATCATCAGAGAGATGCATTTTTAAATCTGTGTCAAAAACACGCCAGCTTTACATTTTTCAAAAGTTACGGAAACAACTCCTCGGGGTAGAAAATAATATCAAAATCCGTTTTAATATCAAATAGTTAAGGGAGCGGATCGTTTCCTTTTTTTTTGTAAATTTTTTTAGATCAAAGGACAGTCGGAAATTCAGAGGATCAAAGCGATCAGTTTTCTGGTCCGCTGTTCCATTTGGCTTTGAAATGCGACGCCATGGAAATCCAATCTGAAATGGAAACCCGTCGGTGAGTGTCCAGCTAGCGAAAGTATCAACCGCAAGCATCATTACCGCGCGACAATAAAGTTTTAACGACGTATTGGGTATCAGACGTGCGGTTTATCAAAAAATCCCTCCCCCTTTGTTATGGTCCGAAAGTTTTAACGAATTCGGGGGTGTAAAGTTTCTTTTCCTTCTCTTTCGACACACGCACTCGCCCGGGTCACATTTATTTTTCCAGCGAAATGTTGTTTTCATTGAGAGAGAGAAAGAGGAGCTATCGGATGAATTATTTAATAACTCGGGGGGTGCGAGAGGGAGAAAGAGAACGGGCGGCCTAGCGACTTTTGATTTACGGCCGCGAATCGATAGCATCACATATATAAAGAGTAGCAAATCGGGGGCGGCCCCGATCGGAGACAAATTATCCTCTAACAACTCTGCCCCAAGAATTTATTTCGTTGGCTCCGCTCCAGCAGCTTTTGGTGCCGCTTATATGATGCAGCCTGCACACTTTCCGAGCCTAATTTACGACCAGAAATTATTGTTAGGCGAGATTGGGTAATAAGGAAAAGGTCGCAAAAATGTTTAAAAAAGAATTGTTTTTGGGAAAAAAAAGCTATATATGGAAAGGTATTTAAATAAAATAATTTAAAAAAATACATAATTTAACTTCAAATTATGGAGATATTAAAAATTGTTTTAAAAAATGTTTAAATTAAGTAATAATTGCGTAAATCTGATTGGTTGAAAAAGTAATCACTTTTGTTAGCGTGATCTGTTTATCTCCCTCACATACACCTCAATAAATTTGATTTACCAGATCAGTAATATCGCCGTATCTTCTTCAATTCAAAGTAATTCGAAGAACTTTGCCATTAGATCGGGCAATTAAACCGGTTATAAATATTAACGATTATCGATTCTCTCAATTAGTGGAGAAGTGGCGGTCTGATTGGGTTTAATCTCCTTATCGGGTGAACACCTTTCTCGTGCGTTTATATAAATATATCAGTTCAATTTTACGAGAGTGGGCGAATTAACCGTCGGCAGTGGAGCTCGCAAAACACCGAAAGTGGCGAAGTCACGGTCGAGCGGCCGATAATGAGTGCAACAGCGCCGTGGCGCTCGGGCTGCTGCTTTCTACCTCATTAACTTTGATGGCGACAGCGCGAGCGACTATTTAATGAATAACGCGCGCACATTGCCGCGAGGCCTCGAACGTGCCGTTCCATTTGGCGCGCCACTTACGCGCTCACTCACTCCACGAGGAATTCTGTTGCAGCCGCGGACGACACGCATAAGTCGTTCCAGCCACAGGTTTTCGTGCCGAGCCGCAATTAATCTCAAAGCAGACTGAATAGGAAAAGAAGAGCGGAGGAAAAGAATGACTTGTTTATTGTATTTTAAAGAAAGTCAAAATAATTTCTCTTCATTTCTAATATTCGTTTAATTATCTTTATTATTTTTTATTTAATATTATTTTATTTAATTTTATTCATTTCATTTTTAAATTTATGTTATTTTTAAATATTTTTTTTAAATGAATCATTTTAGTTTATTTATTAATAATTTGGTCCATTCGATTGAAAAATAACGGTAATTGAAAAAATCCATAGTAGAAAATAGTCTGTAAAAGTTCTGGTTAATTGATTGGCGATATTCACATGCAAAATTAGCTTACGATAATTGCTGGTTTCATAAATTCCCATAAGGTTGATACATTTTCCAGTTAACCCATATGGATTTTGTATTATTATAATGCACGTTCAGGGTCAAAATTAATTTTGGCGTTTTAATCTCCGTCTGTTCCTTGATGAAAATTTCATCACCCCGTACAATTTATTTTTTCCACGTGACGTTTTTTCTCGGCTCCTTGTTTAATTTCACATGTCGCTTGTTTTTCATTAATATTCAAAGCGAATACGTCACGGTCGTCGTCACCGGCGCCAGTGAACGCTGAGAGATGCAAAAATGGATCCTCAAAATGGTTCATCATATTTTTTGTTTATCTCTGAATTTCCTCAACTAAAAATAATCATTCCAAGCAGAAATCGATCCAAACGAGGAAAAACCGTCTCACTTCCTATCTGTCGTTTTTGATTCCGCGCCTTCGCGCCGAGAATCGATAAACAATCGAGAGTTGTTTTCTTTTATTGGACTCGAATTTCATTTCATTTCGGTTTACGCTGCCTTTTATTGTTTCCCCCGCCGGCGAACTTTTTAGCCACAATAAAAGTCTGCGCGAGAGGAAAGCGATAAAATGTCGCACGTGAGAAACGGAGAAGTGTGGCGGATTTTTTCTTCTTCTGGGCGACGCAAATCTGCCCTCGCAGGGTGACGCGGAAACGCAGCAATAAATCAAAATCAGGTATATTCAGTAGCAGCTTTGCTCGGCTGCGTATTATGTGCTGTGACTTTGGCGATTCCATCCAGTGAAGATCGGTCTGGCCTCCATTGTCGCGACCGATCGTAAAACAAGCGTGTCTACCCAGAGTCAAGTTTGTAACTTTTGAAGGGCAAAAATCGAGACACAAATTTTTAGCCTTTTACAAATTGAATACATATACATATGTATAATTATTTTTTATTTTTCCTGCAAATTGTAATATTGGGTGGGTCCGAATATCAGAAAACGATTCTCGCACAAGAATTCTCAAGGAACGATTCTTTAGTTGAATTTTAAA